TTGAACAAGACTCTTGTAAGAGAGAGAGAGAGAGAGAGAGAGAGAGAGAGAGAGAGAGAGAGAGAGAGAGAGAGAGAGAGAGAGAGAGAGAGAGAGAGAGAGAGAGAGAGAGAGAGAGAGAGAGAGTTGATGCGCGATGGCAGCGGAGGATGTGAGTCCGGCACGACTGCTGGAGCTTTGTAGGGGTGAGCGGGAGGAGTTGGAGCAAGTAGAGGCGTGGCCTGAGGCGACGTGGACCAGACTTTGTGATGCCTTTCCATCTGTACGTGCTTGCGATGCAGGTTTTGCAAACACCTTGCTCTTGTCCACCTTCTGACGCCACATGACGCCACATTCTGTTATTGTTGTTGCGCGCAGGGCGGTCCGCATCCCGTGAACGCAGCGAGCAAGTGTGGCCATCACAACTTGGTCCGCATGCTTCTGACGCATGGCTTCTCTATCAATCATCAGGACGAGGTGCAGCCTGTTCAATGTTGTTTTGTTCTGATCCTCTCTCTCGCTTTCGCCGTGTTCGGACATGACTGGAGCCCGTTGCGCGCCTCTGATTTCTCGTACGTGCCGATTCCGCAGGAAGGCGATCTTCCTCTGCATCACGCCACGAAAGAAGGGCATGTGGAGATCGTTCGAATCTTGCTGGCCCAGGGTGCTGATATGACCGCTCGCAACTCGGTGTGTACTGTTGCATGAATCGATGTCTGCGAGCTAACTGGCCTCAAACTGATCAACAGGAATCGTCTTGATCTTGCTGTTTTTCTAGCGTGGCAGCAGTGCCCTGCACAAGGCTGCTCAGTATCACCAGCAAGAGGTCTTGCGTGTGCTACTGCAGCACAATCCATCGGCCATCAATGCAACGACAGAGGTAAAGTACTCGCGACGCAATGCCATTTCACTTCTTCCAAGCCGTCGGCGCGTGCTTTTTGCATCCTACAAAGCTGACAGATTTTTTGCATGGCAGCACGGAGAGACAGCCCTTATGATAGCTTTGAGCCATTCCAACCTGGAGGGAGCCCGTCTGCTCCTGGCACAACGCCCAGCGCTCGACGTCCAGGATGAGGTAAGCGCTGCAGCGTCTTCGATGATTTTATGTGTCAAATCTGACCTTTGATGCTAATGGGGTCTGCCTAGTGGGGCTACACAGCATTGCACCAAGCGTGCATTCGAGGCAACACGGCTTTGGTTCAGGAAATGCTGGATCAACACGCACCAGTCAACGTGGCCAACATTCCAGTAAGGCTCGGGGCTTGCATCAAAGTGCTTTTGAATCTGACTCATTGTGCTTGGCGTGGGCGTGGCTGCGTAGTATGGCTACACTCCCTTGCATGAGGCTGCTGACCATGGACAGGCCGACATCTTGGGCTTGCTGCTAGCGCATGGCGCCGATTGCAATGCGCAAACAAACGTGCGTCCAAGCACCGTGATTGTCGTTCTGAAACGTTGCCGCCTGGTCGCCAAGCACAAGTTGTGCTGATTTTGTGCCGCGGGCCCTCTTGACGCAACGGCTCTTGAATTTTTGTTTGTTCATTTATGGCGTGGCAGGACGGCCGCACGGCTGCCTATTTTTGTGCGCAACATGTCTGCTTTGAAACTCTGGACCTCTTATTCCGGCGGGCACCAGAACCCGTCGATCCCAACCTGGCAACGGAGGTGCGGTAAAGATTCTCCTGCGTGCAGGCTGTTGAGCGTCGTCCGTGCTGCACCTGCTGCATCTGTTTTCTCATTTTGTTGATCTGGCGTTGCTGTGAACTGATACGCCGCTGTTCAGAACGGCATGACGCCGCTCGGCATTGTAATTCAGAACGCTGTAAATTCGAGTGTGCACGAGTTGTCAGCCGTCATCACGCTTCTGCTTGACCAGGGAGCCGACGTGGACCTTGCATACACGGTACGTGCAATGCTGAGCTTCTCATCAACCCTCTCGTCAATCTGGCGTCAAAAGCTCACAGAGCCGCAACCAGACTGGCCAAGCTCCGATTCAAAGATGTTGGTATCGTATGATGTCAAGGCAGAGATGGTTCTCGGCCGGCGATTTCCTCGCCATGGTAAGTCACGCAGGCCTTTGACACGATATTATTATTTGGCGGCTGTTGGGTTTAAATCAGACGTGATTTGGCCTGGGTTGCTCATCTTGCGTTGCCAAGCAGGTTCTGATGCCCATGCTGCAAGCCAGCCGTCAACTCCACTTTTACATGTGCAGCGCTCTTGGGAAATCGGATCTGTTTCGGTGTGCATGCGGGGATGTGCAGCGTCGCCGGATCGCCGTCTTGGTCGGGGCAGGCTGGCGACACTGGCCAAGATATTTCGACAGCGCAGTCCTGTCAGACCTCAACAAACGGTTGGCTTCACCCCTTGAGTAGACGAAGAGTCACGCACGCATTGTCTCTGGGTGTCTGTCTCTGTGTGTCTGTGTGTGTATGTGTGTGTCTGTGAAATCGTGTGTGACATCTGGCAAACCAGCACTTGAACCCTGCCCGACCCTCGTTTTTGGAGCGACTCTGCGCTGAAATGCCCAGAGCCAAGCTCTGCCAACGGCTCCAGGACGAAGAACGAGCGCATTTGCATGAATGCAGCACAGAATAGCACTCCACCGATCCACCCGAGCAGAGATATCACTAAAGTCAAAGATAAATTCAACAGGTTAGCCGTTATTTTACAAAGAGATTCAGAGACACGGACAAATTACTGACTCTTTTCAGAGATGTGTGAAAGGAAGAAATCGATTTGATTGCCTAATTTCAACTTTGCGTGACAGTTTGAAGAGAGAGAGAGAGAGAGAGAGAGAGAGAGAGAGAGAGAGAGAGAGAGAGAGAGAGAGAGAGAGAGAGAGAGCGATCGACGACAGCGACAGCGTCAGTGGCAACGGCAACGGCAACCCGGGGGCTGATGGAGAGAGAGAGATCTGAGACTTCGCACGATGGGCAAGATGCCGGCGCTGCTGTTGGTGGCTTTGGCTGTGGGCGTTGTCGGCGTGGCGAGCGTACCAGTGCGTGTTTTGATGGTTTGCTTGGGTTTTCTCTGGGCAGAGGATGATGGAGGCCACAGTGGCTCAACGGGTGATTGCTTGCTCTGTCTGCTTCGGCCCGATAGTCTAGGAAAGAACCGGCGCTGCGCCCACACATCATCTTTGTAAGCAAACACTCTGTGGATTCTGCAAGCCAGCAAAGATCTGGATGCCTCTGACAGCAAAGATGTTGCTCGCTCGGCCTCATCATCTGCCGTGCGCATCACCTTCAGATCATGGCCGATGATCTGGGCTACTATGACCTTGGCTATCGCAACCCAGATTCCATCACGCCGAACATTGATCAGTTGGCCACTCAAGAGGGAGTCATCCTCGATAACGCCTATGGATACCGCTACTGCAGTCCCTCTCGGGCTAGCTTCCTGACCGGTTCGTTGGCGCAAGCACACGCCTCGGCTTCTCCAACTTGTGTCTCACTGGTGCTCTTCCGGCTTGCCGAGCCAACTCTTTCGCTCGGCCTTCTGACAAGCTCACGCATGAATCCTGGACGCCCCATGCCGCGATCCTTTTTTGGGCATCTAGGCCGCGTCCCCATCCATGTGCATCAGGGCAACCCCGGTCTGGCCGCAGCTGGATGTACGAACCTCAACTACACCATGATCCCTGCCCAGTTGCGCCGAGCCGGCTACCGTACGGCCATGGTGGGTAAATGGCATCAAGGGGCCAGCCTGCCCGAATGCCTTCCCGTCAATCGCGGCTTTGATACCAGCTTTGGCTATCTCTCTGGCGAAGAGGATCACATGGACCAGACCACCAATGGTCGGTTCAAATCCATTCCTCCCGGGGTCTTGTCATTGCACGCCACTTCTCATTGTTGCTTGCCTGGTGTTTCCCAGGCGGCCAGTGCAATGTCACCGACTTTTGGTTGGATAGTGGACCAGCCATCCGACGCAACGGCACCTACAGCTCCTTTCAATACAACGATGCCATTGTCGACATCATCCAACAGCATGCGCCCGAGCAGCCCTTGATGCTTTATGCTGCCCTGCAAAATGTGCACGGTCCCTACGAGGTGCCAGAGCGCTACCGAGCCAAGTTTCCAGCTGACAAAAACTGCACAGAGACGGGCGACAACCCCACCTGTTGCACCTTGGCGGGCCCCGAGGGGACTCGCTGCGATGGGAACGACCACCAAGCCGGCCTTCGCTGTCCAATTGGAGCCCAGTGCACGCGTGATTTTATGCTTGCCATGGTTAATGTCCTGGACGACATTGTGGGCAACATCACACGCGCCCTCAAGGCCAACGGCATGTGGAACAACACGGTTCTCGTCTTCAGGTTGGTTTGCACGCAGGATTTGACGGGCGGGACATGGCCTCATGGTCGCAACTCTGCCTCTTGGGTACAGCTCTGACAACGGTGGGGCGGTTCCGGGGGCTCCACAACATGGCTCGATGAATAACCATCCCCTTCGCGGTGGCAAGGTGTGGCCTTGTTTGCACGTCATATCGTACCCGTGTGCCTGTTCTCGTTGGTCATTGTGTGGTCGCCTCATCGGGCATCTTTTTTTTTTCCTATGATCAAGAGTGCTTACTTTGAGGGTGGGGTGCGCACGGCGGCCTTTGTGGCATCGCCCTTGCTGCCAAAGAGCATCAGAGGTACGTGTCCACACTGCTGGAGCAGCACCAACAGGTCTGTTTACCTCACAAGCCGCTGATCCTCTCTCTATGCGAGCGGCGTAGGGAGTGAGCTGCGCGGCTTGATCCACATTAGCGATTGGTATGCGACGTTTTGTCATTTGGCGGGCGTGGACAACTGTACAGATGCCGTGGAGCCCTTTGCTTCGGATTCACTGAACATGTGGGGCTACTTGACGGGCGTCAACTCGACTTCGCCTCGCACCATCCTTCCGCTCGGCACCTATCAAGGAGGGGCTGTCTTACAAGCGGACGGCTTTAAGTTGGTACGCGGGCAGCAGCAGCCGGACTGGTGGTATGGTCCACAATCCCCCAACTGCACCAATGGAACGGGGGTGCACGACTTTAATTGTGAGGACGACTGTCTCTTCAACATTTACGACGATCCAGGGGAGCATGTCAATCTTCGCACATCCCACGACGAGGTGTACAAGGCTCTCGCGACCCTACTCGACCAGTTTGAGAATGAGACGGCGTCGATTGAATTCCCGCCCCTCCCCAAGACCGTGGTGAGTCGATATCCCTCCCTCTGCAGTGCTGCCTCCCAGGAGTATCAAGGTTTTGCCGGACCCTGGCAGTATTTCAACCAAACCCCAACCCAGCACCCGTAAAGCGAACACCCGTCAACCCCGAGCACCCGTCAACCACCGTCAAGCCCATAGTGCTTCACTCTAAACTGCCCATGGTGCTTTACTCTGAACTGCACTTGTCTAGTAAATTGATTCATATCTCATCTCTCTCTCTCTCTCTCTCTCTCTCTCTCTCTCTCTCTCTCTCTCTCTCTCTCTCTCTCTCTAAATCTCTCTCTAAATCTCTCTAAATCTCTCTAAATCTCTCTAAATCTCTCTAAATCTCTCTCTCTCTCACACAAACTTGAAATTTTCGTTTTTTTTTTCTCTCTAACACACACACACACACAAACACACGCATATATCTCAGTGGCGGCGGCGGCAGCGGGCGGTAGTGAGGGGAGAACGAGAGAGGATCGTGGGTATGAGGGGGCCGTTGCTGGTGCTGTGCCTGTTTTTGGGTCAATGGGTTTGTGGGGAGAGCCGTGATGTCCAGCGCCAGCGCGAGACGGTGACGCCCGACTACGCGATTTACCACAACGTCTCCAGCGTGTTGCACGAGGTTGGTGCCTTTGGCTCGCACTCGGTCCCGCCGCCGTTCCTGCCTGTTCTCCGCCTTGCTCTACCCCCTAACGCTTGGCTATTTCGACGCATCTTGATAGATTGATGCGCTCGTCAGCCGTTCCGAGTCGCTGCTGCACTATGGCAAACTGTATGAATCGACCCAAGGTCCGCGACCTGGCCTCCTGGCCAGCGCCGAGCTGCATCGAAAGCGAACTCGTTTAAACCGCTTGAGAACTGTGCCGTCCCGTTTCACTTTGATGCTTCTACCTCCACAGGTCGGCTCATACCTTCCGTCAAGATTCGCAATGCCAGTGGCATCAGTGCTGGACCCCATGGCCGTCGAATCCAAGTCTTAATTGTAGCGGGCGAGCACGCTCGGGAGCTGGTACCCGTCGAATGGTACACCCTTCCCCCACCCCCCGCTTCTTTTTCCCAATGATGTTGCCACGCAAATACCCAGTTTGCTTTCCCTCACCTTCGACGTGCCACTGCTAGGGTTCTCACGTTGCTGAGCACGGCCCTCGTAGCCGAACACGCCCCGCAGGACTCCGCCCGGGGAAAACTGATGCGCTGGCTCCTCTCCAATTTTGACCTCACAGTGATTCCCCTGCTCAACCCAGATGGCCGAGCACACCTTGAAAGCTCCCTCAACTACTGCTGGCGTGGCAATGCCCGGGGCGTTGACCTCAACCGCAACTTTGACTGGGACTTTGGCGGCAAGGGCGCCAGCCTCAACCCGCTCGATGAAGAATACTGTGGCACACATGCCCTCAGTGAAGTGGAGGCCCGAGCCCTCCGCGACCACCTCACCCGCGAGTCTTTTGATGTTTTTATCAGCCTTCACAGCGGCACCCGCCAAATCTACTTGCCCTACAGCGACGGCATCTCCTGGTCCTCGGGTCGCCAACCTCGCTTTCACACCGACATGATTTCCATCCTCCGCACCGCCCTGCGTCTTCACTCGTCCCAAATTCCTGACCGTTCCTTCCAGGGCGGAGCCGCTCATCAGCTCCTCGACTATCCAGCCTCCGGTACCTCCTTTGATTACGTCGTCGGCCGTGAGCTGGCGCCCCTTGGTTTTGCCGTTGAAGTATATGGAAACCTCAGCCACAAATCTGACGGTTGCTTTGACATCTTCAACCCAGTGGCCACCGAATTGCCCGCTGCATTGGCCGTTGCCGACACATTCATGGTCTGCTTCTCACGCCCGCCAACCCGAGCCTCTCCTGGGTGCCTCTGGTCGCTCATTGACACCACCTCGCCCGTTCTTCCTCTGATTCAGGTCGCATTGCTCAAGGCTGTTCAAATGCATTGGACAAGCACTCTCAACACCTGGCACGAGCGGCAGCGCTCACTACCGCTTGACAACCAAATCGAAGCCAGCGCCTACCAAGCTCCCTGGACCATCCTGCTGATTTGCGCCGCCATCTTGGGAGGTCTTGTCTTTATGCAGCGCAAGTCAGTTCTCTTGCCCCATCTACCCCCTGTAACTCACACTGTAATGTAAGCCTTGACATTCGCTCAACTCACCCGCTGCTTGCCATGTGGTCACCTGTGACCAACATCCAGGCGCTTTCTAAACGCCTTGGTCCGCCAGACACCCCATCTCCTCCCGACCCCGATTTAACATGCATACCACAATTTTCCTTCCATTATATTTTGAGTGGTCCAAGACCATTGCTGAATCGCATGATAACTTTTAATTGACACCTTAGTCCCTCCTTGAATTGCGTTGCCACCACCGCAGCCGCGCAGTGATGTTCCTTTCTTTTTTTTTTTTTTTTTTTTTATTATTCTTATCTCTCTCTATGAAATTCACCTTTCGCGCCACAACTGCTCGCGCAACCAGCGTCAGAAAACAAGAAAAGAAAAAAACGAAACCAAACAAGACAGACAAAATGCCATCTCGTCACGTCAACCTAATCGGCTTTCTTTACAGCACCCAGTCCTTTGCGCTTTGCGCCCAGTCCTCCCGTTTTCCGTGCTATCGATCCAGCTTGCTGTTGCTGCCGCCGGAGCTCACGTTCAGCCTTGCGTGCTTCGCGTGCTTTGCGCCGCTCCTCAGCTGCTGCGTCACCATCGACCGAGCTCGAGACGCTAGAGATTGACTTGGCAGTGCCTGCTTCGCTCCCCCAGTCGTCACTGCCCCAGTCACTCGCCTTGGCCGGCTTTGATTCGGGCTTGACATTCGAGGTAGCACTATCACCCCAGCCGTCCACGTCCACGTCCTCATCCCAGCCATCACCCGTACCCCAGCCATCTGCATCCGCTTCTGGTGTGCTGATGGCGGCCGAGGCTGTCCACCGATCGGCGGGAACCGGAGCTGATGTTCGTGCCAGCTGAGTTTGATCGACTTCATCATCAGGCGTAGCTTCCATATCTTCCCATTTCTCATCCTCCCATCCGTCCGCGTCTTCGTTCTCAGCGTCGCCCAACGCATCATGAAACTCATCGTCGTCCTCTTCGTCGACCAGTGCACCACGCTGTGGCGGTGAGCGGTTCGCCTTCAACGACATGCCACGGCCTGAGACTGGCTTAACTACCGCTGGAGTGCTGGTCGTAGACGCAAGCTGATCAGATTTTGCGCCTGGCGCGCTGCCGGCACCGGCGCCCTTGGATATTTGACCCACAGCGGCATTGGCCCATGAGAGGAGCTGCGCGCCTGTACCACTCGCCCCTGCCACAGGTGCAGTCAAACCATCGGCTTCCCCAGCTGCTGCCCGCTGTTCGCTGGCTACCTTGGCCGCCTTTGAACCAACCAAAAAAAAAAAGAGTAATCGCACGTTAGAATGAGTGGGAAAAAACATCCGCCAACATTCAGACAGCATTGGGCAACGCCCACGCTGGAGATTCGCCAACCACCGCCACCTACGTACCTCAGCCAAGCTGTCCGAATTCGTTTGCAGGACGTCTTGAGCGCTGCGCAGCAGCTTGAGTGCTGATCCATGACAAATCCAGATGAAAACGTAAGGTCTGCATCGCGCTGGAACGTCCGGGATGCAAGTGCAGTGCTAACGTGACGAAAAAAAGCATCCATACCGGCGATGCGAACGCTCTCCTCTGGATCCACAGCAGCGGGGGCAGCGATTGGCAAGACGCGCTTGGCTAGCTCGGTGGCAGTAAAATACTCGATGCACACGGACAAGCCTGAGAGTCCGGCAACTCGCGCATGCAAGAAAGGGTCTTTGGTCGCCTTTGGATCAAGGAATGATGCGCAGCAGAAATACCGTTAGGTGAGATGAACCATACTGTGCAGACCGGAGCTTGCCCATGTCTGAGCTGACCAAACATACTTTGAGAAATGCCGAGGCCAAAACGGCACTGCGCGTCTTGGTACTGAGATGAGGCGCAATCTTGGCCAGACATACGGTAGTGTTTGTTCGAATGCCAGGCTTCTCGTCCGCCTGCAAAAATAAGAATAAGAATAAGAAATGCAGTTCAAACAAAAAAAAAGCATGGCGGGCTGGACATGCTCTGCGACCTCCAGTGCATGCCATGGGGAGCAAAGACACAGACCTGAAGCTTGGGAAAGGATTTAGTAACGGTCTGGTCAAGAATGCCAGCCTTGAGCTTTGGAGCAAAGTGCAACATTGCCTTGACGGTTTCCTCACGCATAGCTGGCACTGTGTCCCCAAAGCCTTGCGCCACATGGGGGAAAATGTCATTTGAAATGACTTCGGAGCTAAGAAAGCCGATAAAGTCACCCAGCTTCTTCAAGAGAGAAATGCGTGTGGCGCGATCGGGGGAGGCAAAGAGCTGAACCAGATTGGGTACAATCAAGCGCTAGAGGAAAAGCACGAACGAAGAAAAGCAAAAGACTGGGCAGTCAGCACATGCGAGGCATCGGCTAAGAGAGATAAGCGTAAAAAGAACAAGCTACACTGACCGTGTATTCATCGTCCTGCAGAAGCTTGCCAATTTTGAGCATGGGTGCCAGCACCTGGTAGCCAGCTCCACCAAACTGAAACGCTTGAAGAAGCTGAGGGAGAATCTTCTTGATGCACAGGTCGCGTGGAAACTCATCAATCAGCTACATGGCGAGAAGAACCCAGTTGAATATGACCGTGCCCTCAAGCAGAACGATGAAACAGCATGCAGCTACAACAAACTTTGGGCAGTTGACCGTAGAATGCGGACACGTCCTCCTTTTCCTTGACGGCAAGTTCCTCGAGAAAGAGGACAGCGTCAATAAACTCGTTTTTAAAGTACTTGCCCGGAGCGCGACCTTGGTCGAGGAACTCGCGAGGCGAGGGCCGAGTTTTGGGGTTGGTGGAAATCAGGACAGCGTAGTGCGGGATAATACTTTTGGGCATTTTGCTCATGGTCTTGAGTTCTTCGGGATTTTCCAAGAGGCCATGATGGGCTTCGTGGATGAGACATCCCAGGCCCCACATGTCGACAGACCACACGTGACCGCGGCCGTGCTGGCCCTTGATGACCTCAGGAGGCTCATAAACACGACAGGGGGGCATGGGCTATTGAACACAAGATCATTTCCGGGAGTGAGTTTGGATAAGAAACCTGAAAGCAGACTGTGCGCATGCAAGGGAGCGAGCCAAACACACCAGCTCCTCATACGGGGTTTCCTTGGTGCAGAGGAGCTCCATGCCTCCCTAAGGGGTGCGGAGATTGGATGAAACGCCCATTCAAGGCCAGTACGTCATAGAAAGCCAGCGAGCGGCGAGAAGGAATAAGTCAGGTCGGTATTGGAGAGCAGGGCACGCACCAGCTTCCAATCACCCTGACTCGTGACGAAGATGGCACCCATGCCCACATTGCGATGGATAAAACCGGCACCGGCCAAAAACTCGAGGGCTTTCTGTCGAGCAAAAAAGGAGTTGTTAAAATAAGGGTGGGGCGCGGAGGGTTGGCGGCAAGGGCGAGACTGGCCAAAGCCACAAGTGAGGCTAAGGGACCATGGGGGCAACGCACGGTGACTTGAAGGATGCCCCAGGCGATGCCAAGATCATTGATAGCGCCAGCGTCATCCAGTAGCTGCTGCAAAGGCATGACTTCCTCGGTGGCCATGGCAAGCATGGTTTCAGAGTCGGTACTGCCCAAGAACTTGAGAACGTTGGGGTGGCGCAGCGTACGCGAGCGCTTGACGGCGTTCAAGCCGGCTTTGAGCTATGAGCATGCCAGCCCGGCACAGAGGAAGGGGTTGGCTCACAGCGCCAACATTACGACTCGGGCAAAAGCATGAGGCATTTGTACACCAACCTCTTCCTCGCTGGCCTCTTTCTTATCAAGACAAAAGATGGTGACAGGCGAGCCATCACTCTGCATGGATCAAGAAGCGCGTTAAAATGCCGGTGGGATGACGGTGGAGGTGCGAGCTGACTTGGAACCGCCGAGAGCTTCAGAGGGAGAGAGAGGGAGAGGCCTTACGCGTTGCTTGCCATGATGCAGGCGCCACACACATCGCGGTGGTTGAACTTGATGTGCATCCTTGATCTGAGGTCACAAGAAGCATAAGTTAAGCGCGACGTGCCACGACTCGGCGCGCACCGGCCTCGATCCGGGTCTGCTACCTCGCACGCTCGAACCTCGAATGGAAAGTTGGGATCGCCGCCACCTCCCAAGAGGGACTTGAGCGATGCGAACATGACGTTGAGATGCAGTGATGAGCACGTTGACCACTGCCTACCCAAGCTCCCCTTGTAATGTACACAATAAAGACGCGCGATGCGCTCAAAAGGCCGTCGCTGTCGCTGTCGCTGTATCGCCGTCGCCGTCGCCGTCGCTGTCGGCCGCTGCCCTTTGAAATGCTCGAGGACTCGACAGCGTCACCACCGCGTCAACCAAAAAAAATTTAAAAAATGAATAAAACTTTAAAAGAATGAATTTAAACTTTTTAAGGGTTTTGATGTCAGACGGTTTGGCCTCTTCGAGCAGAGATGAGGCTGGATCGTTGACCAGAGGGTCAAGTAAAGTCAAGGTGATAGCAGAGGTATGGGTGAATTGTTGGTGTTGATTTTTTCAGATTTTCTCGCATTTTTTGACCTTTTATTTTTTTTCTGGCGCCTGAGGTTGACAGAGACACAGCTTGAAAACAGGCGCGTAGACCTTTGGCAGGAAGTGCCTGACGCGACATGAGGTTGGGTTAAGTTGAGGATTGAGAAGGTCTGTCCATGGGGTCCCCAAGACCGATGTATTGATGAAGGTTGTTCAAGACAGGAAATGTGCTGCTGCTGAAGGACCGTGAGAGCCAAAAGAAAAAGCGAAAAGCGTTAACATGTCTCACATACACTTTGCACTGCTTTTTCGTCTCTCTCTGAATTTATTAATGTAAATCTTCATGGTAACGGATGAAGAGCTACAGAGGTGGCTCCTAGGGCGGGGGAAACACAGCAGTCTTGGTTCATTCGAGGTGCCGTGATACGACAAGGGTGGCCCGCGACCAGCTTGATTGATGTGCTCAAGCGTGTCGGCGTGGGTCGTGCTGATCGGGGCCGGCCAGGCGCAACCGCGACTGAAATTCATCCATGGTGACGTAGCAGCCCACCTAATGCCATGGCCGAAGCCTGTGAGCTCTGGAAAGGGCCTTGCACCCCCCCACTGTTCAAAAAAAAAAAAAGATGAAGAAAGAAGGTAAAAGAGAACCAAGCTGGGGAACCTCCCACAAACCAGGTTTCGATGGCCCACAAAGGCTTCGCGCCCGTGGAGAACCTTGTGATTGTTGATCACGGCCATTTCGCCCACGGCCAAGCGCTCGCTGTGATACAAACACCTGGGAGTCAAGGGGTGGATATCGAGAATTGTGAGGTTCGTTGCGTGCGCGGGGCGGCACGGGCAGCCGTGCGTGCGGTTGACCAACTTGGGACTCGCCAAGAGGGCCGTGAGCCGTTCGAGGCAGTGATAGTAGGCCTCGAGCTCATCAAAGGTGAGTTGTGGCATGGCTGCCCGGTCCGTGGGATTGAAGCGCATCACCACATCCTGCGGCGCTTCTGCTCCGAAGACTGGGCACCGACGCGCAGGATGAGTTGGTGAAGAGGCCCCAAAAGATCCAGCGATATGAGGTCGCAAAGGGGGCGCGCAGCTGGCATACTTGGGCCCATGGCATGATAATGGACGTTTGTTTCAAGCGCCTGGAAAGCCCAGGGTGTGTTGAAACAATACGTCAAGAGATCCGGTTCTTGCTCGTACAAGGCCTTGAGTACCTGCCACATTGGTCGAGGTTATGAGCCATGAGAGACAAGCGGCGGTGTACACAGGTGAATGAGAATCAGCGTCGGGAAAGGGACGAGATTCGAGATTGGGCGCGAACCAGATTCACGTGGCCAAAGAGTGAAGCGCCCCCATCGGAGCTTTGGGCGGTGCAGCAAAACAGCTGCAGTCCCGGGGGCTCGCGCATGTAGGTGGCATCGGTGTGGAGGGGCAGCCCCAGGTTGGTGTAAGCAGTGTCGTTGACGTCAGCGGCGTCCTTGGGTGCCGTGTCCCAGAGGCCATCTGAATAGAAGGTGCGCTGGAGCTGTCCAAATTGGCGCATGGCCAAAGCTGTGGCCTCGATGAGAGGCTGCTGCGTGGACGTGTCTGGGTCCCGCAGATCACAGGTGGGCATGTCGGTAATGATGACCATGCCGTCTTCTTGGACTGCAGTCAAAGCAGGCAGCGGGTCCTCGAGCAACTGCGACCGCGGGATGCGGCGCGGCGCAAAGTCGCCGGGGCTTGGGAGATGTGTGGGCAGGAGGGTTTCAATCTCAGCCAGAGAAAGCGGAGCCGGAGTGGGACGCCAGGCAGGAGCGGGGTTTGTGGCCGTGGCGCGCTGCCCGCGGGTATGCAAGGCGAGCCAGGCTTGGTCCAGAACAACCCGAGATGGGCCATCCGACTCCTGAAAGGTTACATGGAGTGCACCTTGGTCATCCACCCAGGCGTCGGCGACATGAGCCGCCGCGAGCTGCTCTGGTGTAGCTTCACGCTGCAGGGAGGTGGGATTGGTGAGGGCGGGGTCAACATCACGTAGCCACTTGCGGTGTAGCTTGTGTTCAGTGCCATCAGCCCACCCCACATGAACGTGGCCATCCGGATCAGCCCGGGCCCTCGTGAGACGAGCAGCCAACGGCAGATCTTCTTGCCTCTGATAACGCTGCGGCCAGGGTGGTACGGCCACGGCAGCCAAGGCCCGCCGCCCCGGTCGAACTCCCACACGAGCCGCCTGTCGCACCACACAAGGTACCACCACCATCTTCACGCCCACACCCTGAAGCCAAAAAGATTGAGCTCCTCCCCCACTCCGTCTGTCTCTGGCTCTGGCTGTCCGTCTGGCTCTGGCTCTGGCTCTGTCTCTGTCTCTGCCTCTGGCTCTCTCTGATCGCGCGCGCAAAAAAAAAATCAAAAAAAAAATAAAAAAAATCACTGACATGAATCTGATGCTAAAAATAGATGATTTCATCCTTCTTTTTTAAGAACACACTTGGGATTTTGAAAACATATCACACACGGCACTTCTCTCTTCTCTCAGAAATTTCAGTGGTTTGTCTCTGTCTCTCTCTCTCTGTTTGTTTGCTGTCTATCTCTGCCTCTCAGTCTGTATCGGTCCCTTTCTCTCTGTCTGCTATCTGTTTTCCTTTGTATGCGTTGTGGCATCTACTGTTTCTCTGGCTGTGCGGATATGTCTCTCTTTGCCTCTGCCTCTGCCTCTGACTTTCTCTACATCTCTCATTCTCTCTCCCTGTGACTCTCACTCTCTCACTCAAACACACACACTCTCTCTTTCTCTCTCGTGTTTGCAACGGTAAGAAATGGCAGCGCGTTGAGGATGTTCCGGTGCCGTGCGGTGCCGTGCGGGATGGCAGGGCGGACGTTGTGAGATGCTGTGGAGGAGCAGGGTCAGTGGTTGACTGAGGACCTGCTCTCAGCCGGGAACTCATGGCAAATACTTGGTGGTAATTTTTGTTGCAGGCGAGCGAGGACCACGTGTGTGTGTGTGTGTGTGTGTGTGTGTGTGTGTGTGAGCGACGAGCTGGCTGATTTTGGCGGGGCTCTCGTTTACATCGGGGCAAGCCGTCGCGCGTGCTCTGTTGGCCGCGAGATTGCGCATTTTGACTGCTGCTTTAGGGGCAAGAGTCTCACCACGCCAAGGCCTGACCCGGCTACGGCCCAGCACATTGCCGCTTGGATCGGGCATGTGGGGGCGGCGGCTGGTCTGGCACTCGTGCGGGCTGATGGATGCGGCCGTGCAGAGGCGAGCATATCGAATGGCCGGAGGGACGCTGATTGACAAACTCGAGGTCACGCGCGTCCTCAACGCTGACATGTCCAACTTTGCCCAAGAGCTCGGCTGTCGTGTCGATCTGGCCCCCGCCGTGCTCGTCGTGGGTCATCGCAACCGATACCTCTTCAACTGCCCCGAAGGCATTCAACGCTACTGCCTAGAGTACAAGTCAGTCAACATCGCCCAGTCCCTCGCCTTCCCACCATCCCGCCTCCTGCTCGCACCTTGCACCCACACCATGTTCTGCGTGGCTCTTACCTTACCTCAACACCTTTTTTTTTTTTTTTTTTTCTTGGATTGCTTGTGCGCCAGGCTCAAACCACTGAAATGCTCGCATGTCTGGGCAACGCGCATGGCCTGGGACTCGCTTGGAGGTGCCTTTGGGTTTGCTCTGACCTATGGCCTGGCAGGTCCTCCTGCCAAGCCCCTCAACTTTTACACGCCCGGGGACCTCGGACCATACCTTGAAAGCGGCAAGGCCTTTTGTGGCGTCAACTACATGCGACACAAGGACGTTTCCACGGTCGAGACCTTTGCCGACGACGAGCTGCAGATGCGCATCTTTGCTCGTCCCTCACCGCGCAGCGCTGACCCTTCGTTCGAGGGCAGCGCCGACCGTGTTTTGTCCTTTGTTGGTCATTTTTGTGACAAGCCAGGTACCCTCGACGTTGAAAAGGCCAAGGCCTTGGGCGTGCCCCCAGGTCGTTTGTTCGGCCAACTCAAACGCGGCGAGGCCGTGCAAGTTCCAGATGGCCGTATTGTGCAGCCAGACGAGGTTCTCTCGCCTCCCCTCTGCCCACCCGCCTTTGCCATCCTCGACGTCAGCCCCGCAGAGACGCTCGATAGTCTTCGTCCCGTGGCTGAGCATTTTGCCAGCCTGGACCGCGATGGCACAGTCTACCACATGGCTGCCTGGGCCACCGTACACACGCCCGAGTATGCCGACCTTTTGAACGCTTTTGGTCCTCGCGCGCGCCACGTTGTCATGGATCCCGAGCAGGATCGACGCATCACCCATCTAGCCAACGCCACCAACCAATGCATTCTCAACACCATCCTCCCACCCGTCTTTCCGCGTCCCTACGGCGTCGAGCAGCTTGATGTACCCACTCTTCCAACAGAGTTCAGCCCCGCCAGCACGCAACAAATGCAGCAGGAAGGCCGCCTCGTGGCCTCCGACCCCCTTCGAATCACCTATCTTCGCGCTGACGTCTCTGATACGCGGCGGCTGCTCTCAGACAAGCGCCGCACGCGTCAAGACCGGGGCCGCGAGTCGAAGCGCGCCAAGACCGAGGCCACCGAGGCCAACTCGGAAGTTAGCACTGCCACAGATCTTGCGGACAACGATGGTGCTGACGTCAGGTATTCCGAGCAGGCCCGCCAGTTGATGAATCGTGAAGCCATCCTGCGCGGTTCCTGGATGCCCGTCAAGGCGGCCGAGGCCGCTGCCCTGGTGCGCGCCCTGCCCGAGTATCAAAAACGCCTCCCCACCACCAAGTTTGAAGACTCGGCGAGCGCCACACCCAGCTGGAACAATCCGGTGGTCCACTTTCTAGGAACTGGTTCGGCTGTGCCAAGCAAGTATCGTAATGTCACCTCCATGCTCGTGGCCCAACACGACGACGAGGCAGCCCTGCAGTGGACCTTGCTCATGGACGCCGGAGAAGGCTCAACGGCACAGCTCCTTCGTCTGCTGGGCCCCACAGCGCAAGCAGAGCACTTGGCCAAGTTGGCAGTTGTGCACATTTCACACGTGCACGCTGACCACTTGCTGGGGATGCCTGGCTTGATGCGGGCTCGCAAGCGCGCCAGAGCGGCGCGGGGCGAGCCCAACTCACCCCTGTGCATTGTTGGTCCCATGGCCATCATGAAGGTCTTGCGCACGGTCGGGTTTGTGCCCAAACGTGACTTTTACTTTCTGCGGAACGACTTTTGCTTTCCAGCTGAGCTGCAACAGGACGAGAGCTCGGAAGTGGAAGATTCAGGTCTGGTCAAGGCCACGCGCGACGCCCTGGCCTCCACCTTGGCAAAGATGCAACTGTCGCTCCAGACGCTGCCCGTGAATCATTGCCGGCATGCCACTGGTCTGAGCCTGCGCTCCACTCGCGGCTGGTCGCTGACCTGGTCGGGTGATACCCGGCCCTGTGACGTTTTTGCCCGTTTCTGCCCTGACGTGGACCTGATGATCCACGAAGCCACCTTTGAGGCTGAGTTGCAGGCAGATGCCGTCGGCAAGCGTCATAGCACCACCGAGGAGGCCATCACAATCGCCAACGATACGCGGGCTCGTGCTTTGCTGCTGACGCATTTTTCGCAGCGTTATCCACGCATCCCCAAGCCCGAGAGTGCCAAGCCAAACATGCCAACGGCTGTGGCCTTTGATTTAATGTCCATTCCACTTCGAGCCGTCGAAGGGCTGGCCCCTTATCTTGATGTGCTACAATATGTTTTTGAGCAGTTTTACAGCGAGGAGGACGCCGATGAACTTGAATAGATCGGTTCATCTCAGCGTGTACTTTCTCAAAGGCATCCATGGCTCGCTAAGCGAGTTGACCGACTGAGACGCGGCGTGAGGCGCATGCGTTTGTCAAATAAGCACAGTTTTGGTTTTGAAATTGAGCAATTACTCTGCTGGCGCTTCATCGACAGGGGCACAACGGCCGGAAAACAATTGCAAAGGCGAAAAAACACGAAAAGAAAACAAAGTGGAGGGCGGGTTTGCCGATAAAGAGACATGTGACGTGCAGGCAAGAGGAGGGGCAGGGTGCGGGTGGTAGGCACAGGAAGAAAGGGGGCACAAGTCGGTTATGACAGAGTCACGCTTGGTAGAACTAGACAAGCCGCGGGCAAAAAAAAAAAAAAAGGCAATGTGCACACGATACGAGAACAGACACGAGTTATTCGTCACCGATAACCTTGCAAATGCGCCGGTATACCCGTTGGCTGGGTTCAGCAATATCGTCGCTGCGCTTGGCCAACTTGCCAACACGCTGTTGGATCAGAGCAAGGTGGGCAAGCATGGGGCTGAGAGAAACCGATTCCAGGTTCTCGGGCTTCATGCTAGCGTGCAGGGCAGCCTCGGCGAGCACGGTCTTATGCGAGTCCATCATGGCCTCAATGGCGTCGAGTGAGGCTGAGATGTAGTGAGAATATTTGCTTTCGAGCAGCGCCTGCAAAGCTGGCAGGAGCTCGGACACGGCACCCATCGAGGGTGCCAGCTCCGGGCGTTCCGGTGACCGCATGCTAAACAAAGTCAAGCATTAACAACTTGAGGCAACGTCCAACGCCAAAAGCCAACCAGCGCGCCCCTGCAAGGGTCAACGTACCACTGGCAGATGGTGGGGAGCAAGTCCACAAGCAAAGCTTGGTCATTGAGTCTAAACAGTCGGGAAGGAGCAGAAGGAGCAGATCATAGCAAGGTGAAAAATGGTCAGTGGCCGGGTGGTGTGGAAAGCCGTGACGTGGCTTCAAAAAGTGAGAGGTAGCCCGTGTCACGTACTCAACTACATGGCTAATGGCAAGGTCAATGTGTTGGAGGGCCAGCGTGGAGGCTTCGAGATCATGATTCAAGACCAGGTGAGTGCAGTGCTTGAGAAGACGGCAATGGCGCCATCCTAGTTTGTCGAGCGGCGACAAAAGGTCACTTACTGGCTTTGATGTTGACGGTCCGTCCAGACAGGATATGAAAGATGGCGGCATGGTTGGTCTCCACCTGCGCGAGCCATCAAGTCGAGATGAGCCCAAGCACGGGGACAAGGCCTTCCAAATGTGACACAAGTGCTAGAAGGGACTTAAAACAGGCGCAAAGCTTACGGCTTCGAGACAAGCAGCGGTTTGCTCTACAGGAATAGAATGCACGATGGGGGGTTGAGCAAAGCCGGCCCGGGGTCAGGGGTTTCGAATGGACGGTAGTGGTGGAAGCAGAACACACACACACACACACACACACACACACACACACACACACACACACACACACACACAGAGCCAACAATCACCGCTTGGCGACGACGCGACCGAGGCAAAAAGCACGTACGTGCGCTCATGTTGTCGGCGCTAGAGTGAGCAGCATGGGCGTTTTGGGCAACCTTGAGCACGGCAGGCGGCAATGCCATTCCCTCGGCCGGAGAAGACGAGCACGATGCGAGACGTGTGTGTGCTGGAAAAAAAAAATTTGAATTTTGTTGAACAAAAAAAAAAAAAAAAAAAAAAAAATGAAATTTGAGAGAAAAAAAAAAAAAAAAGTGTGTGTGTGTGTGTGTGTGGTGGATTGGTCCTTCTTAGGGAGTGAGTTGACAAGTGAGCGGGGTGTGGGTGCTTGCCAGAAGCTTGGCAGTACTTCCATGTTTGGGGGGGTGGGGATGAGGGATTTGGAATCTGTGAATACGGTGCGATATAAGATTACATCCGAGGTGGCCGAGATGTGTTTTCTACTTGGTGTTGCTCCGACTCCGCTGGGCTTGCAGCTCCACTTCTTGAGCTTGCAGCTGCTGTCGAAGATCAGCCGTAGATTGCTGGCGCAACAAAGACCGTCAACTGAGGCGGGGGAACAGGCTGCTTGCTGGTGGCATGCCGACGCGCGGTCTGAATTGCACAGACTCACCTCGAGGACTTGCAGCTTGGTCGTGAGTTCCACGGTCACCTCATGCGAGAGTTCAAGATCCTTTTCTAGCTTATCGCAGCGGCCCTGCAGGGCATCGCGCGACTCGAGCTCTTGCGTCAACTTTGCAACCTGCTCCTTGAGTGCCATTGTTTTCTCATCCTCTGCTCCGTTGGTAAAATGAGCGGGAGCGCAAGCATGGCATCAAAATACTAAACAAGGGGAGGGATAAAGGATCCAGAAACATCATGACACACCTTCACGCAACGTATCAAGCAAATCTTGTTTGGTGATCTAAATAGATGCCAGACATGAAAAAGGTGAGCCGGTAACCGAGGGTGATTTGGCAACATCCGCTCGTTTTGCTTACTGGTTGGTCAAGCTGGCCAGCCGAATTGAGTTTGGCAAAGAACTAGCACAAAACAGGGTCCAAAAGGTGCGTCACATTGTGAGACTGACACCGGTGGGGCAAGACCTAGAGCAAGACCTCTCGACTTGCGTGCAAACCTGTTCGAAGCCTGTCAGTGCCTTGCGAAGGCGTTTGGTTTCTGAAAACTTGGCCCGATCTGTGCGGTCAAACTAGACGCAGAGCGGGTTGATGTGAAATGAGAGACGTGGCACGATCAAGGAAACCGTGAGAGACGTGGCACGATCAAAGAAACCGCGTCAATCGCGTGCTTGAAAGGGTGCTACCTCATCCTTGTACTCGTGAAGCATGGCTTCCAACTGCTGCGCCGTGTCAGAAGCCGCATCCAGTCGCGCTGGCAACGATACGACGCTCTCCTCGGCAAAAGCCACCTGTTCCCGAATTGTGGTTCGAAACGACTGCAACAACATGGTTTCCTGGCACGTCGAACATCCAAGGACCAGATTAACTTGTGCGCGGGGAGCCTTAGTAGCGGGGAGCCTTTGTCGCGGAGAGGGCGGCACGAGGGGCTCAGAACACTAGCATACTCACTTGCGCTTGGAGACAGCGGGTGAGGTTGGCCTGGTGGCGCTGTGCTTGCACTGCGGCTTCCTTGGCCATGGTCTAGGTTGCAATGGGCAGATATCGGCGTGTGAGCCGCCCAGAGGCTTTTGTCAGGCATGGGGCAGCGCGATGGGCGGGTCAGGGCGCAGTAGCAAAAAGCGGTACCTTGCGTTCACGGTCAAACTCAAGGTGAAGTTCTGCTTCCTTGGCCTGGGCAGCTTGCAGGCGCTCCTGCATGAGCACGAGGCGCGATTCGTACTCGTTGTTCATTTCCTGTGACGCACGAAAGCTGGCATCGGAGCGGATGGAGGTGTTGGGATCTGCGGCTCCGCTGTTGGCGCGCAACGTGTGCACCTGCTCCTCAAAGGTTTTGAGCTCCATCTGCTGGCGGCTCAGCTCGGCGCGAAGCTCAGCCTCCTGCTGCTGCCATTGGCTTCGAGCAGCAGCCGTGCTTGCCTCATACTGTTCCTTCATATCGGCGAGTTGACGCTTGAGGCGGTCGGTAATGTGAACATGCGTCTGCCGTTCCTCCTCCAATTTGGCCTCGAGAAGAGCCACCTCTTCATCAACCGTGCGATTCGTCTCACCAGCTCGAATGCGCAAGCGGTCATTTTCTTCTTCAAGAGTACGCTGGATATGCAGAAAGCTCTCGTTGGCCTCGTGCCACGTCGTCTTGAGTTCGGCATGCTCCGTCTCTAAATTCTTAAACTCGAGCTGCGCCATGTCCAGTTCCCGACGCAGCACTTGCCGCTGTGTCTTGAGCACATCCAGCTCTGTCTCCAGGTCGGAGCAGCGAATCTGAGGGCATGGCGAAGAGCATCCCGCGTGAACATCAAAGCGCCTGCGTTGGGGTGGCTGACATGCAAGTTTCAGCCAAGTTTCAAGTGCTTCACCTTTTCTGTTTCCAGCCGAGATTCCAACGCCCCGGACGACTGAGCAGCACCCTCTTGGCTAGAGGCCAGGGCCTACGCCAAGATCAAGAGCAGAAAACATGGCGGTAAGAAAGCCAGCCGGCGACTTGAAATCGGTTTGGCATACGTGGAAAGGGGCAACCGCGGATCTGTGGACGCGTACGGTGGCGGAGAGGCGATTCCGCAGAAACTCCACTTCGTGCTCGAGTGGCTCGATGAGAGCTCGAATCAGGTCAGACTCTTGGCGTGCGGATTCTTGAGCATTGTCCAGCTGAGTCGGCGAGTCGGTAGGGGAGGCGTCGGCGCTCTGATTGGTCCACCGCTATGCATGCAGGCACAGGGCCGGAGATGAGCAGGCCGTGTGAAGGTCTTGTTGCCTCGCTGATATGGACGGTTCGATCTTACTCTGCGCAGTCGAAACCCAGCTCGCTTCTGGCTTGCGTTTTGTCTCTGCAAGAGATCAACCTGCTCACGAAGGCGTCGCGTCTGCTCAAAGCTAAGCGTTCCCCCGGGAGTGACAGGATAAGTGAGTCGTGGGGGATGGGGCAGAGCGCTTGGTGCTCAAAGACGGGGTCATGGTCATGGTTGCTTCTCACTTACTGGGCTTCGTGGATGCGCGCCGCATCATCACTAGCAAGCTGAAGTTGCCGCTGCAGGTTGCGAACTTCAACAGCCAAGTTCTCCTTCTCGCGCGTGATGGCTATATGCAGAGGTGTGTCATGAGAATTGGCCGTGCGGCGCCAATAGTGCAGGGAAAAGGCAAACCAGTCACGTACTGGAGAGCAAGGAGCGCAGCGCTTCTTGGTTGGCGGCATATTTGGCTTCAAGTTCCTTGACATACGACAAGCTGAGCAGGAAGTGTGACAGCAACACGAAGGTCGAGTGAGTGAGTTTGGCCTGCTCGCAAAGTGGAGATGGGCACAAACATACTGTTGAGTCGACTGGATCGCAGCATTGAGTTCCGAGTCAATTCCAGTTGCCAACTGTGCCGAGATGCTGCGAAGACAGTTGATGGGTTAGCTGGGTGAGAAAAAAAAAAGAAAAAAACAAACAAACAACAACAACAACAACACTGGGGCTCGACGGGTTGTGTGGGAGTAAGTCGTGAGAACGAGAGCTGACGCACGTGTTGGCTCGCAGTCTTTGTACAAGGTCATCCTCGATCTCTTCCTGGACGTCTGTGGGGAGCTCGGGCACTGGTTCGATGTTAGGCGGGGTGGGTGTCTCGGCCGAGGGCTGTAGCGTTGTGGCCGCCTGCTCGGTGGGGAGCGATGCAGGAAAGACCGACTCAAGCTGGTGGGATGAGAGCGGTGCAGCGTCGGAGAGGGTTTCCGGGCGTGACAACGGGTGGTCCACTGGAGGCGAGGCGCTTGGTGTCTGGTCGTGATCCGACTGGAGCGCAGACTCGGTGTCGTTGGCCAGCTCGGGTGGCCCCTCGTTCGGCGCGGCCATGCTGAGTCGGTGCTGCCGGCCGAGCTAGCCAAGCTCAGTGGCCCGCAACCGACGGCAAGAAAGCCTCAAGCCACTCAAACCCGTTGCAGCCGTCCTCTCCTCACAGTCAACAACGCGCCTCCCGTTCCAGTCGGCCAACAGCGAGCGCACCACTGTCGCGCGCGAGCTCCAGGGTCCAGACCCCTGTGTGTGTGTGTGTGTGTGTGTGTGTGTGTGTGTGTGTGTGTGTGCGTGCGCAGGTCGTCGATGCTGTTGTCGTGTGCGAGTTCACCACAACGACTTTTTTAAAATTGAAGAGGGAAGTTTGAAGTTGAAGTTAAGGGGATCAGAGTATACTTTTGCTCTGGGAAATAAACATTCCCTGGGAAATTAATACGATTCCCTGGGAAATAAATAAACAGTTGTTGTTGTTGGTGTTGTCATGATGCAAGCATCGATGGGCGTTCGGCGCCGTTCGCTGCTTCTTACACCGCGCCCGTCCGCGCCTCCCTCACTGGCGCGCGATCCCCTTGTGGGTCGTTGTCAAGGGTAGAATGGCATCGGCCTGTTGTAGGCTGGTTGATTAACATTCGGCCGGCCATGGCGGGGGATGGCGCCTTTTGCACCAAAGGAAGGGTCTTGTCCCATTATGGCCCAGCAGAGAGCCCCGACGTGACAACGGTCAAGTTCGTGGTCGGGGTCGCGGCAGTCAAACGGCAGACAGGAAAGCAAAGTCAACGCCTTTGGCAGCAGGGCTAGGACTGAGTCTGGGAGTGCTGCCCATCGCAATCATCCTGCTGATCAAGCCCTTTAAACAGACAGGGTGTGAAGCCCAATCCGTATGACCATTTCCGAGCAGTGATCAGTGATGAGTGATGGGAGGGGCATGTGGTCCGTTGGGGCATTTTTCCACTGCGTCATTGAGAGCCATCATCGCCTTTTGGTTTTTTGCTCGTCGTCGTGCATCTTCAGCTTCTTGACAACTCCTCTGGTGCGTTGGTCCCCGATGCTGGCGCGCCGCCCAACTGGTTTTGGCTCCCGTGCCTGCAGCTTTTGGTCTGCTTGAAGCTACCTATCGCTGCCCTTGATCGCATCTCTGCCTCTTTCTAATTTTCTTTTTTTCATGATGGAATGTGCCGCAGAAATCTAGTCATGGCCGCCTTTCTGCGTCAAGCCCTGGCTGGTGGTCGGCAGCTGTCCATGTTGGCAGCTCGGCCTAGCTCGGTTGTGATGAGCCCCGCAGTGCAGCTGGCTGCCCGCCGCTTCAAGCCCTCGTTCGTGGGCGAGGACGGCTGGGTCCAGGTGGAGGAGACCCTTGCCGGCCCTCCCTATCAGGTCCGAGTGTCGTCACATCTGATTGCCAAGAGCGGGTCGCCGCTGGCTTGTGTGCCCACGTCGACCTTTATTTGACACTGACATTCACGCCATCATAACACATTGCATCGCTAATAGAACGTTGTGCTGGATGGCCGTCACGAAACCTTGGTGGACGAGCCCATGACCTTTCCTGATGGCCAGGACACCGGCATGAACCCCTATCAGTTTCTTGTTGCCAGCCTCGGTGCTTGCACCTCGGTCACCGTCCGTCTCTACGCCAACCGAAACAACATTCCTCTGGAGCGCATTCGCGTCTTCACAAAGCACGACCGTATTTATGCCAAGGACTGCGAGACCTGCACCACCAAGACCGGTACGCCATTGCTCGCCTGTTCTCCTCTGCCTTGCTATGTGGACTTGATCAAGACGCGGGCTCATGGCACTGTACCGCTTTTGATGCTTCTGCTGCCCTCTTTGTGTTCACTGGTCTGGCTTTGGCAGGCAAGGTCGACAAAATTTTTGTCAAGGTCCAGCTCGAGGGCGACTTGACGGCAGATCAGCGCAACAAGTTGATGCAAATTGCCAACTTTTGCCCCGTTCACAAGACGTTGACCACGGAGACCATCGTCGACGTTGCTGCCATGGAGTAGTGCCTGGCATCTGGGCAACCCTGTCGCGTCTAGTGCTCTCTGAAAAATTAATCGATATTCACAGGCTCTTTGACAGGCAAGAAGGAAGACTCTATTTTACAAGGCGAGCTCGATCACATGAGACAGCTTTGGAAAAAAAAATGTCGCAGCCCAGCCTCCCGACAGCAGAAGATCTGGGGCACATGAACAACAAACAGCGAAGCTCAACGCCATCAAAACAAACACTCAGAAACAGGCTGGCGGAGCAGAGTTAGACATCAAAGCGCACATCCATGGGCGGGAACGAAGAACGGAAGACTTGTCAAATAAAAGGAACACAACAAGGCGAGAACCTGGCGGGAGAGAGAGGCAGCGAGGGTATACGCGGGCAGAGAGCGGTGCTTGCTCAGTGTCAGTGTCAGTGCCAGCCGCTTTCGCGTTCAATGTGTGCCTTTTCTAGAATGACTTTGCCGATTTTGTAGCGCTGCTCTTGCTCATAAGCCATTTCCTAGAGGAGAAAAAGGTAGCGATACCCCGTGAGCGGCGCATTGATGCCCTGTCATGAAGTATTTTTGGACAAGCTCAAGCGTGCTGCTGAGCAAAGGCTGGCGAGGAAAGCGAGGCTCACGAGCACGTACGTATTTCCAGCCGAGGTAGGAGCGGCATATGTTGCAGTGGACATCGCAAATGGAGTGAAGGCCTGTGATGAGCATCTTTTCCTGTGCAGGGCCCACATCAATGTTGACCACCTGCTAGCACGCGAACTGGCAGTGAGCTGTACGACGCGCGGGCTTGATGCGCAAGCAGACGAGGGCAGCGAAACGACATCTTGAACAATGATGTCACCGATGCGGGCAGAACAGACATCGTTGAAGAGATAAGCTCGGCCGAGGCGCCCTTGAAAGCTCTGCAAACGCACTCAAGGCAGATGTTGAGGGCGGGTGAATGAGCTCAAAGTGCGCGTCCGCGGGCGGGGTGCGAGCGGAAGGCCTGAGGCGTCGGCGATACCTTGGAAACTAGCGAGTCGTGCGCTGCGAGATGCGTATGGCAGTTGGCACAGATGTAGACGCGAGGGTCACTCAGATATTCTTTGAACAAGCGGCCCATCTTAACGTTGCCTGGCAGACGTGCTCAAGACGGCAGCGACGCTGAGCTGGGGAGAATGACGCGGCGCCAGCACAGAGCCCAGGCGCGGAGCGTGTCAATCAAACCACAGCTTCCACCACGGCCAGACCAGACCAGACCAGGCAAGACAACGTCCTAGCGGCTGCTCCTAGCGGCAATAGATGCTTGTTCCTGGCAACGTTTGGGCCCGGATCGGCGACGCGACAAGCGCGCGGCGGCGATGGAGAGAGATAGAGAGAGTGTGTGTGGCACAGCGGCAAATGCAGAGATGCTGTGTGTGTGAGAGACAGATTCAGAGAAGATGTGGCAGCGTAGAAATAAACTGCAGTGGTTTTGTGGGTAAATCAGAGAATGTGACGCATGGTGAGGGGCTTTTAGACAAAGATAGAGGAACAAAAGGCAAACAAGAGATAGCAACATCAGAGGATGCTGAGTGGTCAGAGCTGTGTACCGTCGCAGGTTTTGTGCCAAGCTTAATTACAAGGCATAAGAGAGATGAGATGGGAGTCGTTGTACACTCCCGCCAGCGCCAATCGCTAATCTGGCGTAAACTAAAAATGATTCAGCGTGACTTGGCTTAACAAGTTTGCTGCTTGGCGTTATATGGCGTAAGTTTGGTCCCAGTCTTACGTGTGCACTGCGTTTCAAATCAACAACATGAAAAGAAAACAAGAGAAAGGCTCTATTGCGACAGCTGTAAAAGTACCACAAGTAAATCAAGCTATGGCCAGGAGGCAGAAGGGCAGGCAGAGCAGAAAGGCAGGCAGAGCAGAAGGGCAGGCAGAAGGGCCAACGGTCAAGAAGCGATCAAGCCGGCAAAAGTTAGGCGTGAGCGCAGAGCGTTGGACTTGCATGGTGTTTTGGGCACTTGGATGACAGGACAATGTGCAATTGGCTACGTCGGCCCACGACACGAAACGGATCGACATGTTGGTCCGCAGGCAACAAACACGCAGACACGCAGACGCGGGGGCGTGTCAAATGGCGGGTACTTGAACCCTGGCTTATACAGCGGGGCAGTCGGGGAGACTTGAAGGCAAGGTGGCGACGCCATCGTCAAAGATGTTCTGGGCGTCGCGTTGGCGCTTGATTTGTGCAAGGCGGCAGCGGTTTTCTCCATTGTACATGCGTGCCGAGGCTACCTGGTCATAGGCGCGCCATGGATAGTTTTGGTAACCTGAACGCGCGCGCTGGCCACCATCAGTCTGCTTTACGCGTTCAAGGCGTTTGCATGAATCTGTGCCGTGTGCCTGAGAGCCTGTGTCAAAGAGCGTGCGTCCGAAAAAACGTGCGCGCACGTCTGCGTGTGTGCAATTCGAGTGTGTGTGTGTGCGTTTCCATATGTGTGTGTGCGCGCGCGTTTTCATAATATGTGTGTGTGTGTGTTTGTGTGTGTGTGTTCTGTGCATCAAAATGTCATCGATGCTGATAAAACAAAAGTCAGTTGTTGATGTTGTTTTGGCGTTCTTTGAATGAGTTTAGCTAATATTTTCATGTTTGGAGGATTAGAAATTTGGCAAGGATCCCATCTTGATTCCTGTCGCAACATGATTCAATGCCAATTTAGGCACGCAGAGGGGCGGAGCTCAAGCGGGTTTGGTGTAACGTGAGAACAAAGGTAATAGCAGAGATGTGCTTCGGCGTTCTTTCAGCCAATCTGGCGCTGGCGCCGACAGTGTTGTGGCATTTTTATTTTACGATCGCAGCAGTTCACTGGCTGTCAGCCGAGTTCAAGGATCGCTATCATGGTCAAGGGGGCGGGGGCGACGCTGCCAGTGCAGACGGTGGTCTTTACTGGCACCTTTGAGGGCGGGAATCGCAAGGAGGTGGAGGAGGCGGCCCGAGCCAATGGCTTTCGTGTCGTTGGCAAGATCTCCGACAAGGTGGATCTGCTCGTCGTTGGCGGTGTTCAGGACCCGCACGGCGCCAAATGGGCCGATGCCAGCTCCCGTGGTGTGTACCTGCTTGCAAACCTTCATCGCGTCGCTATGACTGTGACTCTTTTTTTTTTTTGTTGGATGACTGACCTCTGCATCAAAACAACATGACAACAACACAGGAATTACTATTTTGAGCGAAGATGCTTGGCGCGCGCGCAGTCAGCCTCAGACCGCAAAGAAGCGTGCCCCGGTCAAGAAAAGCAGCGCCGCTCCCAAAAAGGAACGTGCACCGGCAGCATCCAAAAAGAGCTCGGCGTCTAGCGCGGCCAAACGGGCCTCGGCCGCCGCAGAGCCTGGAGTGGCCCGCACAAAGGGCACAGGCACCCCAGTGCCCTCCTATCGAGTGACCAACGTCGTGTTCACAGGCACTTTTGCCGGTGGCAAGAGGCAGGTCATTGAAAATCAGGCCCGTGAAGCCGGCTATCAAGTCGCGAGCAAAGTGTCTGGCAACACCCACGTTCTCGTGGTCGGTGGCGTCAAGGACCCTCAAGGTGCCAAGGTCGATGATGCACACCGTCATGGTACGCCACATCGCTCCCGCCCTGTGTTCCGTTTACGACATGTGCGGTGGCTGCCGTGTCCCTTTTGTTTGGCTCATCATCCTTTTTCATGCTTCTGCCACTGCTCAGGCGCGCTCGTGGTGACCGAGCCTCAGTGGGAGGAAATGGTTCGGAACAAGGCCAATGATCCCGCCAAGCCTGCCAAGGACACCGAGGAGGCCGCGCCCAAGCCCAAATCGGCCAAGGTCCAGCCCGGTCAAAAAAAGGCCACCTCGACCAAGTCTCTGACCGTCGTGTTCACTGGCACATTTACCGGTGGCACTCGCAAGGAGATTGAGGCTCAAGCCGTGGCTGCTGGCCATCATGTCGTCGGCAAGGTCTCGGGCAACACCGACGTCCTGGTCGTCGGTGGTGCCAAGAACCCGCAAGGGGCAAAAGTGGACGATGCCCAAGCCAAAGGTAGGTGCGCTTGACTGTCATCCGGGGCGCCAAGGCCGCTCCCTTTTTCGTGTGTGCAGCCCTCTGCCCACTCCCTCTCATACGAATTTGGTGCGGGTCGGACCTCAGGTGTCAAGGTGCTGAGCGAGCCCCAATGGGCCATGCGCCTCAACAATGGCGACGAAAGTGATGATGACGATGACGAAGATGATGCGGATCGGGAGGATGCTGGTGGCAATGATGATCCCGACCAAGGAGGTCCCGACCTCTCCCCGTACCAAGCGCAGATTGACGCCAGCAAGCTGGACATCCTGGCAGCCACGGTGGTGGAAGAGGATGAGCGTGATCATCCCACCTGCCCCAGCCAGCTCGTGGGCCACCCATACTGGCCTCAGGATCGGATCAACGAGTACCCGCGGGATGAGTCTAATCAGCCCATGATGCTACTGATGCAGGTCAATCTGTCCGTCTCGCCGCCGCTGGCACAGTTTCCCGAGACGGGAGTATTGCAGCTCTTTGCCACAATGTACGACGACCTTGGAGGCATGAACATGGACGACCCGTTTGATCAAACCAACTTTCGAGTCATTTATCACGAGTCCTTCAACGCCGCACCTGTCACCGAGTGGGGCTTTCTGGACAATGCCATTACCAATGCCGATAGCATAAACTATGAGGAGGATGCCCGTGTACCCAAGTTTCTGCGCCTCTCCTTGCAACAAATGGCTCCAGACTGGTCCGATTATCGGTTCGAGCGCCTGCTGGGTCCACTCAAGAACGACGACGACCTTGCCGACCATTATCGCGAAGAATACGACGCCCCGCGCATTCGACTGGGAGGGTATTCTACGTTTGTCCAGTGGGACCCGAGGCCCGAGCATGGCCTCGGCGAGGCCCTGACGCTGTTGACGATCGACAGCGCCGAGGGTTTCTGCTGGGGTGACTGTGGGTGCGCCACTGTTTTGATTCCCGAGCAAAACCTTCTCAACCGGGACTTTGCTCGGGCTGCCTTTTGGTGGGATTGTGGCTAAGGACGCTTGCACCACCTTCAACAGTCGAAGGAGAACCGCTTGTTTCTCGAAGGAGAACTGCTCGAGTCTTTTTATTATTATGATCGTCTCTTGTGTCAATCTGAAGCCACTCGTGGAATTGCCGTCCAATTGAATATTCTTCACGTGCTTGACGTCAAGACGTGCTTCAAGAGCCGGGCACGAAGCTGGCAGCCTTGGCAAGGCCAAGGATATGATGATCTTTGAGCATGCTCAAAGTAAAAACACAATCAGGTTTTTAATTACATGTATCCCATTCGATTATGCAGAAGCCGTCTATTGTGCTCTAGCGCCGCAGGACACTGCTCAGCAGTCCAGGTCGCTGTGGTCGCTCTTCCATGGCTTGCCGCACCAGGTGCAGATAATCGTCTTCGCCCAGCATGGCGAGCTCTCGACTGGACGGAAAGCGTTGCCGACCAAGCCGGTAGGCCGAGCGGTATACTCGTTGCTCTTGCCCCGGGTCGATCTGACACAACAAAAAGTTTGTGTTAAGATGAGAGAAAGTTGCGTTCGAATTTTCGCGAAAAGTAGTGAAAGACTTTCACGCACCTGACCGTTCTTGGCCAACACCGTGTGCACCATCTGACGCAGCTGCGCCCAATTGTGCGCAAACGGGAATAGCATGAGGGCAAGCGCAAGAAGGACCGTGACAGAAACCACTGTATGACAAACCTTGTTGGGGAAGGCGTCTTGGGTTGTGGTGCTGGTCGCCGCCTTTGAATCAGGGCTGGGGCGTGGGGTGGGCCTGGACGGCGCGTAGTTGGGCGGTGTGGACTGAGCCAAGGAGCGCGTAGGGGCGGGCGCAGTCAGGGAATTGAGAAGCGAAGCCACGTTTTGCGAAGCCGTGGCAACGTTGGTCGACAGCGCTTGCTTGTGGGTGTGGTGGGAGGGGTCAGCTGGTCGTGACGTGCGCGACGCTGACGAATAGGGTGGTGGATACGACGGTGGTGGTGGTGGGACCAAAGTTCGCACCGGGGGCGGGGGAGGTGCAGCACGCACAGCGCTCAAGCGTCGGCCTGCATCAGCCACGGCTGCAGTGCGATGCTGAGCCTTTGCCTGAGCAGCTGCAAGCCGCTGTCGGACGACATTGGCGAGACAGGCATCGCAAAGGTGCTCGGGGTGAACGTGGTCGAGCACGGTCTGACACGACCGGCAATGGTAGCTTTCTCGTTCGCGTTGCAGCCGTTGACGGCGATCATCCAGGGATTCGCTGGCTGTGGTTTTGGCACGCTTGCGACGCGGTGTGCGCACAGTGGCACGTCGGGTTGCATAGGCGGTAGCCGGGCCGGCGCGCTGAGTGCGGAGGCTTGACCATGATCGCACACGGGCTGGCTCAGCCTGAGCCGAACGTGCTTGAGCATTACGCTTGCGCCGACGGGGGGACGAGGCGGCCTGCTCTCGCATGGGCTTTTCGACTGAAGCCGCACCCTCTGCCGCACTTTCGCCTATCAAAAGGGTTCGATAGCATAACGAGGAAGGGGCATGCGTCCCGTTGGGAAAGAGGACAAAAACATTGTGCAGGGAGAGCAATACGGTTCGAGTCAGAGAGCTGACAAAGCAGCATGACCAACCTTGTGCGGCACGGGAGGCCGCGGGCGATGCCGCTGTTGCGGCGGCTGCTCTGGTTTGGGCGGCGTCAAGGCAAGCAGTGCAAACCCAAACCTCGTCATCCGCTGGTAGCGTGGTCAAGCCGACGCAGTGGGGATGGTAGGATCGCTCGCAAGCATCGCATTCAATCAGTATATTGTGATATGGTAGGTGAGGGGCCAGTTCGGTGCGGTGACAGTGATGGCACAAGCTATCGTAGTCTAGCTCGCGACGCTGTCCGAGACGCGAGTTGGGAACACACACGGAGAGCAAAAAGCAGAGGCAGACCGGAAAAAAAAAAGAATTATCAACACGCGTGTGCAACCAAGGGGAGTTGTTCATGCGTACCGATCCATCGACGACGACGGCGGTTGGAAAGCAGCGGTCGAGGGGACAGCAACTGGCGCTCGCCGAAAACCATTCTGCACCAGACCACGAAGACAGCCATTCGGGATGGCAGCGCAAGGCATGAAAGCGGGCTCATGACGTGACGCATTGGAACGAAAAAGGGCAACGAGCTTCGTACCATTGATGCAGCCAGAGTGATATGCGTGCCCGCATGGCTGCAGGACGGCACGCAGCTCCCTCGCCTCCACGTGTGCCCCGACGGCCGGCACCGCAGAGAGACAAATCGCACACTGATCCTCATCGTCATCAGCCACTGCCTCGCCACTTGGTTCTGCCCGTTGCGCCTTGACCACAGCCCCACCCTCACCCTCAAACCGTGCCGGACTTCCCACCTCGCTCACCGCGCCCCCAACGCCGGCGCCCCTTTCTCTTGCCGTCTCCATCACCGACGAGGCCTCCACAAGAGCTGCACACAATTGCTGACATTAACCGCTGACATTAATAGCTGACAATAAATGGTGACAATAAATGATGACAATGATGCGCTGGCGGTGTGGGTCGTCGGTGGTGTGGGGCCGGTGTCGGTGTCGGGTGGAGTCTGGTCATTGTGGTTTATGGCGATTGTTGGATGCGTTGGATGTGTTGGATGCGTTGGATGTGTTGGATGTGTGGGATGTGTGTCTTGTGTACGGTTTGCCATGGCACTTGGTGCGGTTGCAAGTCAGTTGGTGCGATTTCAGTGCAGGCACGACCTCGTCAAACTTGGGCACAGCGCTCTCACATGTTGTCACATAGAGTACACAGTCCCTTCTGACTGTGTGTGTGTGTCTCTCTCTCTGTCTGTCGCTCTCCGTCTCTCTCTTTGCTCTCTCTTTGCTCTCTCTCTGTCTCTCTCTCTCGCTCTGTCTCTCTCTCTCGCTCTGTCTCTCTCTAACTCTCTGTCTCTTTGTCTCGCTGTCTCTCTCTCTCCCTCCCTATCTCTCTCTTCTCTCTCTCTCTCTCTCTCTCTCTGTCTCTCTGTCTCTCTCCCTCCCTATCTCTCTGTCTCTCTTATTTTTCTGTCTCTCTGTCTCTCTCTCTGTCTGTCTCTCGCTCTCTCGCTCTCTGTCTCTCTGTCTCTCTGTCTCTCTCTCTGTCTCTCTGTCTCTCTGTCTCTCTGTCTCTCTCTCTGTCTCTCTCTGTCTCTCTCTCTCTCTCTCTCTCTCTCTCTCTCTCTCTCTCTCTCTGTCTCTCTCTCTCTCTGTCTCTCTCTCTCTCTGTCTCTGTCTGTCTGTCTGTCTCTCTCTCTCTCTCTCTCTCTCTGTTTTTCGTTTGCCTTATTTCGGCCAGTTTCTTTTTCCGTTTGCCTCATCAAGAAATCAAGCTGGCGGTCTTTGGGCCTTGGACCCCAAACGCGCACGAGGTCGATGCTCAAATTGATTCTTCGAGAGATTGGCTGGTGGTATGGCCTGCTGACGCCATACATGAGGCCCGCGTGCGCCACGCTTGCGGGGCCTGCGTTTGCGCACGGTGCCAGGTGCAATCGATACCGAGTTGCTCATCATCTGCTCACCGTTCTTCCCTTACAGCAACTGTCGCCACTGACCTGTCTCTTGTCTCTTGCCATCGGCTACACGCGATCGAGCCCCCTCCCTGGCGCTCTGGTACCCGATCTTGCCCTTGGCCCACTGCCGCCCTGTGTCTTGGCCCTCTGCGCCGCCCATCGAGTCCGAAATCGCACGCCGAGTCCGACACCACGTTGGTCTGACAAAGACGTTTGTCTGACATCTGCATCGTACGTTTTGTCTGACAACTCTTGAGGGCCCGCCTCCCCCGTGCCGTGCTCCATATGTTCGTGCATCGGATCCCTGTGCGCCTTGGCTGGTCTTGTTGAACACATGACCGCGCAGACGCATGCAGATGGAAGGGTGCTAGTATGAATGTGTATGTCAAGCCTAGCGGTGGTGTAGCTCACGCTGGGATGTTGCGTCGTGTTTTTTAGAAAGATCGCCAAAGTTGGAAACACAGCCATGTCGTCCTACTCGTTTAAAAACGCGGATCAAAAAACGCTCTGGGAACTGGATCCGATGGAAGAGTGGCAGCAGTGGTCAGCGGAGCGCATCCGCAAAGCAGCACGATTTAAAAACTCTGTGAGCGTTTATTTATTCAATTTGCCGGAACCTTGTTGTTGCTCGTCCCAACTCTCTCATGTACAACATCCCTGCATAGAACGACTGGAGACCGCTGCACAAGGCTTACAGCAACGGGCGCACAGATGTTGCAAGGATACTTATCAAATGTGGCGTACCCCGTAACGTCAAGACGAAGGTGTGCTTGCCAACCAGCTTCCGATACCGGTTTGCACGACCCCTGTTTTTCGGCCCGCACCAAGGCTTATAAGCGCGGGCCGCTGTGCCTCGGTCATTTGGATCCGTAGGGTAAACGGACGCCGCTTGACCTCGCAAAGCAACGAGGTCACTACGCCAAAATGAAACAGATGGAGAAAGACATTTCTGAGTCTGATTCCGCAACACCTGTGGCGCCTCTTTCTGAAAAAATCACACCCTTGACGTTGGGCACGCCAGACACCGAGTCATCGCCAGACATCGAGGCATTGCCTGACACCGAGGCATCGCCAGACACCGAGGCATCGACAGATACCGAGGCATTGCCAGACACCGAGGCCTCGCCAGAAACCGAGGCATCGCCAGACACCGAGGCATCGCCAGACACCGAGGCATCGCCTGATGCAAAGGCTTCAACCCACGAGTGGGAGAGGCTTTTTGATATCGTTTCCAAAGCTTGCGACAATGAGGACGTGAAAGAAGAAATTCAGAATATTTCCAAATGGAAGGATTGGAGTATCGGACTGCCAGTGATCCAGGACATGAAAACAGCCGTAAATCAGATTGCCGGCAACGCTCGTATCCTGCATGACAAGATGAAGAAGGCCAGCGCTGATCAGAGTCGGACGTTGCATGATGTTCTGACGGAATACAAGACGCTCACAACCGAAACCAACCTCAAAACACTGCGAAATGAACTGTCCACCGCCATGCCCAGCGCTCCAGACGATGTTTTGCTCTTTGGCAGCATGATATTGTTCATTATTGAGGACTTGGACGACACCGCCCGTGCTCAACATTCACATCCGTGCTCTGCAACCGATTCTGCGACATCGTCTCTCGAGAGCTTTTGCCAAAAAGAAAGCGATTCGAAACGCAAGATGTACGCAGATCTGTGGCAAAGCCGCAGGGCTGGTCTGCAATTCAAGCAACAATTTGAGGACCTTCTTTGCTGGCAAGCAGATACATGCAGCGCGTTGGACGATTGTATAGAACTTTGCCCTGAAGTGGATGCCAATTTCTCCGTCGAGCACGTTACAAAACTGGGAAGACGACTGAATCAGCATTTTCCGCCTTTGCTGATACTCCTCCAGCCTTTTCAAAGTCTCTGTGAGAAACAGATGCATCCCAGCCTGGTGAACGGCCTTCCAAAAAGTCTCGCGTTTGAGCTTTGGGCTGAGATTGATCAGACGCTGACACTGTCTAGCCTAGGCCCTCTTGCCCTTGAATACAAGGACAATCATGAGGTCTACCAAGCCAAAGCAGCTCTGCCAAACTCTGATCAGAAACACTTGGCCGTCAAGAAGTACGCCTTGGCTCGACAACAGAAAGAGGCCCTGTGCCGCACGTTTCTGCATGAACTCTATGTCATGCGCAAACTAGAGCATCCACACATCATTAAAGTTTTTGGGGCGTTTGTGGATGAACACAATGGCCAGCCAGGTGCCTTCTTGGTGCAACCGTGGTGTACGCAGGGGGATCTGCAGCAGTGGCTCCACAAGGTACGCCAACAGGCTACTTTGAACGTCATTGAGAGGCTCATGAACGAGTTGCGTTCAGCCTTGGGCTTTATGCACAGCAAAGGTCTGGTGCACCGAGATGTCAAGCTCAGCAATGTCATGTTGGACGGCGAGGAAGCATGTCCTAAAGTGTGCCTTGGAGACTTTGACATTTCAAAGGCTGCGGCCAAATCTACACTGCTGTCGGGGACGACCACAGCATCGATGGGCACAAAAGGCTATGTAGCGCCCGAGGTACTGTTTGCCGTAAGTTCGGTGGGCGCACGACCATCACAGGATGCCTTTTCCTTTGGCTGCGTTCTCTACAACACCTACATGTTTCCACAGACCGTCCCTCCTGCAAAGTCCCTAAGCGATGAAGTTGTGGATCGATGCCAATGGGATTTGCAAGCAGACGCTGCTTCATTCAAATTTGCGCACCTAGCTGCGGAGGTCGGTGTTGCACTCCATGCGCGCATTGCCTCTTCCAGCTCACAGTTTAAACTCGTTCATCACCCCTGGCCCTGCTGTGTTCTGCTCTTTTACCTTTGAAGATGCGCAATCCAAAGAGTGAAGTACACACGGAAATGCGGGCGCTGCTTTCACCGGATTCGAGCAAGCGTCCCAGCATCTTGGAGACCGCCCTGGTACCACGCCAGCCTTCTGCCACGGCCCAGATTGGGTCGGCTATTGACGTCTTACGTGAGGCGCCCAGTGAGCTCATTCCCGAGGTTTGTTGCTTGAGATCGGCGCCACGCTTTGGTTCTCTTCACTTGCAAACTGATGTGTGCTTGATGTGTGGCTAGGTGGCCAACTTCTTAAAGCAGTTGTGTACTGATGAGCAAGGTTGTCCAGAGATCAGGGTACGATGGGTTCAAGCTGTGCACAATCCTGTGCTGTGGGAACGTTACAGCACCAAGCGACAAGAGATGCTCAAGTCCGACGCGACTCGAAAGCATTTTCCTTGTCTCAAAACAGACACATTGGATGCTCTTCCAGGGTTTCCTGCCTTATTCCGACAAAAGCCTTGTCAGGAGCGAATGTTGCTCCACGGCATGCCGAACGATCCTTTGCTCAGCGACAAAATCATTCGCCTAGGCTTTGACAATCGCTTTGCTGGCAGCCACGCTGGTCGCCGCTTTGGGCTTGGTATCTATTTGACCGACGACCCAGTCAAGGTAGGTGGCGTTGGCTTGCAAAGGCGTGTACATGCTGACGCTCGCAAACCTCGGCTTACGTGATGTGTCAACATGAATATAGAGTCATCAATACACCGAGCCTAGACAAAATGGCGAGCGCGTGCTCATCATCGCGCGAGCCCTGCTCGGCCATGCTTACGTTCATGCCTCGCCTCTTAAAGAGGCGCACGTTCATGCCTCGCCTCTTAAAGAAGCGCTAGCCCCTCCGCTGCTGCCCGACGCACCCAACAATGAGAGGTGCGTAAGCTCAATTTTGTACAACTGGTGCACGCCACTCATCCGTGCTCTTCTCGAATCTGTAGATATGATTCCGTCATTGTTACGCCGCCAGGAGAAGCTTCTGAGGTGGTCATTTTTGATAATGCCCAAACATATCCAGAGCTCATCGTCTACTACTCTGCTGCGTCACCTGCTGCGGGAAAGGCGCGAGCCCAGGCTCAAGAGCGCCGCTGAGAAGGCCGCAACGTGGGCATTGCACCCGACGCCACAAGGCCTGGAAGGCCATGACTGGCCCAAAAGAACAACAAAAAACCAATGCAGTTCACGTTGTATTTCAAGCCCCAGTTTTGCAATGCTTTGGCATCTGCTCGTAACGGTGTTGGAATGCTTTCCAGCTGCTTTTGTGGCGCTTTCGGAAGTGTGTGTGTGTGTGTGTGTGTGTGTGTGTGTGTGTGTGTGTGTGTGTGTGTGTGTGTGTGTGTGTGTGTGTGTGTGTGTGTGTGTGTGTGTGTGTGTATGTGTGTGTATTTGTGTGTATGTGTGTGTGTGTGTGTGTGTGTGTGTGTGTGTGTGTGTGTGTGTGTGTGTGTGTGTTTGTGTAGAGCCAGAGGGGTAGGCCTTGCTCACATATAAAACAAAGGGTGGATCAGAGTTTAAACACCCAAGGTGCCTCTCGACGCGTTCACTTCTTTTGCCATATTGATCGTCGGTGTCAGGCGCTGCTATCTGGTGCCGTCGCCGATCCCAAAGAGCCACGTTATTCAGATTCTTCATCATTATGATCAGTGGCAGCAGCAGCACCATGGCCAGGGATGACGTGCATGAGCGGCTTGCGGTGGACGCAGGGATCGAGAGGACATGGCCATGGATTGAGATAAGAAAATTCCAAAAAGACCAGTCTGAGCGACGACTTAGTTGACATGTTTGATTCTTGATTCTTGAAAGCAAACAAAGCGCCGCACCAACCCAACGCTCAGATCTTAGAGATGCCGCGCCGGCGCAGCATCGCTGCCGTCATGGGCTTGGGTCAGCAAGACCCAGAGCTAGAGCCAGAGGGATAGGGTTAGGACTATCGGATAGGGCTAGGGCTGGAGTTTGGATTCACGCGAGTAAAGGGAAATCATCACAACACACAACAACTACAAAATAGGGTGTCACCTGCACTCTGCGGCAGCCACGCTCTGCCAAGGACAGCCTTGACGGGACTCAATGAACGTGTCTAGTCGGTTCGATTGAGACGTGAAAAGGGAAGCAAACGATTTTTCTTTGTTCAATGTAATTAAAGATCGAGCGCAAGCACAAATTATCGGGCTGCCTTTAACCGCCGAACAGCCGCTTGAACATGGCGAGTGTCCGGGTGCGCCTCCCCCAGCGTCGTCAATCGGATCTTCAACGCCTTGCTGTGGTACTCGAGCGCCTGATCGTACTGGTCCTGCTCGGCGTAGATGTTGGCCATGTTGTTGTAGATGCTGGCCGTGTGCGGATGCGCCTCGCCTAGCGTCGCCAATACGATCTTCAACGCCTTGCCGTTGTACTCGTGTGCCTGTTTATACTCGCCCTGGCTTTTGTAGACACTGGCCATGCCAGCGTAGGTGGTGGCCGTGTCCGAGTGCGCCTCGCCCAGCGTCGCTAAGAAGATCGTCAACGCCTTGCCGTAGTACTCGAGCGCTTGCTCGTACTGGCCCTGGTTTTTGTAGGTGACGGCCATGTTGTTGTAGGTGCTGGCCGTGTCCGGGTGCGCCTCACCTACCTTTACCGATCGGATCGTCAACGCCTTGCCGTAGTACTCGAGCGCTTGCTCGTACTGGCCCTGGATGTCGTAGATAACGGCTATGTTGTTGTAGGTGGTGGCCGCGTGCGGGTGTGCCTCACCCACCGTTACCAATCGGATCTTCAACGCCTTGTCGTGATACTCGAGCGTCTGCATGTACTGGCCCTGCTTGGCGTAGACATTGGCCATGTTGTTGTAGATGCTCGCCGTGGCGGGGTGCGCCTTGCCCACCGTCGCAAATACGATCCGCAATGCCTTGCTGTGGCACTCGAGCGCCTGCTCGTACTGGCCTTGGTAGTCGTATACAAGGGCCATGTTGTTGTAGGTGGTGGCCGTGTCCGGGTGCACCTCACCCAGCGTCGCCAATCGGATGTTCAGCGCCTTGTCGTGGTACTCAAGCGCCTGCTCGTACTGGCCCTGTTGGAGTAGACGTAGGCCATGTTGCTATAGGTGGTGGCCGTGTCAGGGTGCGCCTCGCCCACCGTCGCCAATCGGATGTTCAGCGCCTTGCCGTTGTACTCGAGCGCCTGCTCGTACTGGGCCTGCTTGGAGTAGACGTAGGCTATGTTGCTATAGGTGGTGGCCGTGTCCGGGTGCGCCTCACCCACCGTCGCCAATTGGATCTTCAATGCCTTGCTGTAATTCTTGAGCGCCTGCGCATACTGGCCCTGGTTCCTATAGACAAGGTGGTGGCCGTGTCAGGGTGCGCCTCGCCCACCGTCGCCAATCGGATCTTCAACGCCTTGCCGTAGTAGTCGAGTGCTTTGTCGTACTGGCCCTGCTCGGCGTAGACAAGGGCCATGTCGTTATAGGTGCTGGCTGTGTCTGGGTGCACCTCACCCACCGTCGCCAATCGGAGCTTTAAAGCCTTGCCGTAATACTCCAGCGCCTGCTCGTACTGGCCCTGGTTGTCGTAGACACTGGCCATGTTATGGTAGGTACTGGCCGTATCCAGATGCACCTCGCCCAGCGTCGCCAATCGGATCTTCAACGCCTTGTCGTAGTACTCGAGCGCTTGCTCGTACTCGCCAAACTGCAGCAAAACCCTTCCAATCTGCATGCAAAAGTCTGCAAACCTCACCCCCTCGCCGTCCTCCACCTCTCGAGCTCTGGCCGCCACAAGCGCCTGCTCCAGGCACCACGCCCGCAGCTGTGCCTTGATTCGGGCATTTAGCTCCGCCAGGCCCAACGTTGCCTCTACCGTCTGGAATATTATGGCCCGGTCGCTAGCCTTGAACGCCTCGGCCTTGTGCGCCTGCACCCGCACGAGCATGGCCATCACCTCGCCGCCGTCCTGTGCCAAAGCGTCCACAAACCCGTCGACTTCGGCCTCGGGCAGCCGGATGTCCAGCTGCACCTGCCCATTCAAGGCGTGCATCATTTCAAAGAGGCACCAGGCCCGGGTCATGGGCACGGGGTCTCGCCAGGGGCTCATGACCAGCAAAACCCGCCCGATCTCCTTGATGTTCTCCTGAAACGTGTTGCACCACCTGCCAAACCAAAGGCCGTCAGTACCACGGCCAGCCTGCAACCTGGCAAGCACCGAGAGACGTACCACTCGTAGGGGAGGTCGGCAGCAACGTGTTGGTTGTTTGGCACGAGGTCGAGCCAGTAGTAGGCGCCCGGTGCCTCCGTGCGCTCATGGTACAGCACCGTGGCCAGGGTCGTGGCAAAGCTGTACTTCCAGGCGTGGGAGACAAACACGGTGGCCGGTGCCAGGTGGGGCCGTTGTGCGGGATCCTCCAGGAGCAGATCGACCCAGGCGCAGCTGCGGGCCTTGGTGAGCGGCATGACGTAGAGGGTGCAAATGTCCGAGGTGGTCAGCTTGTCAAACTCGTCACCAAACTGCTGGCGGAGTTGGGTCTCGAGTCCGCGGAGAAAGGCGGCGCTCACCCCAAGCAGGGCGCGCTCCGAGCCTGGGATGGGAGTGAAGGGGGGGGGGGGGGGGGGGGGGTGGAGAGAGAGAAAGACAGAGACGGGGTGATTGACCTGCCGAAAGGTCGGCCTTCGCCCTCGAAGGGCTTTGGGCGGATCACCTCTTTTCCGGCTCTGGCAGCAGCCCATGATGGAAGAAAACGCAAAGTGGGCGTGTCCCGCGGCGGAAAACACGGCCAAGACCTGACATGTAAGCGAGCGTCATGTGGAAAGCACAATCCGCCAGTCCGAATGACACAAGGCATGTAATAGGGTACATCCGATGCAGTCAAGAGTCCTATAACTTGAATTTCTGACAAATGAAGACCATGACCGATGGTGAGGGGAGTTTACTCCTGTGACGCGCCACGACGCTACAGCCACGAGTGCCATAAAAGTCTGACATTACATGTACATCCGGATGTAGATAGATTCATTCTGGTTCTCGAGTTTCAGCGTGATCTTTATCGATGTCTACCAAAGGTGCCTGCAAAATATGCTGAAACAAAGTGCTGGAAGCTCATTTGCCTCTTGAAAAAGTCTGCCGCTAGGCATGTGTGTGTGTGTGTATCCGGATGTGTGTATCCGGATGTGTGTGTGTGTGTGTGTTCTTGTGTGAGCTCAAGCTGTTTAATATGGAATACACACACATCCCTGTCCCAGACTTTAAGAGTACAAGTACGCTCTTGTTGTTTGGCCAAGGCAAAATCCTCGGGTAGATGATGCATCTTGTGGTCCTACTACTGGGTTAGCTTGACGATCTATACCAGGATTGCGAAGTAAGCAAGCAAGTCATACAAGCAACTCTCAATTTCATTGCACCAGCCCACGATGGTAACGACCAGCATACAGTCTCACTTGCTTGAGTGCAGGAAGGTTCCCGTCATCCAAGACATTGCTTGGGTCAAGCCAGATCCCGCTCTTGCAGGCGCAATTTATCCCACAAGACTGGTCGCCAGGCCGTTTACCCAGAGCTACCCCGAGTGACCGGTCACTTGCTTCTGCTTGTAACTTTCGTTTTTTTTGTCTTGCTTGTCAGACGCTTACGATTATTATTGATGACGAAAATTCAAGTAGCTGTGAGTTGTGTTTGAATAAAGCACCGATATTCTGCTCCAGATCCGTCAGCAAAGCCTTATTCCTAGTGCTGGCTTTGCTTGCGCGGCCAGTCTTGCAAGCAGCTCGCTCCATGCAAGCACGGGTAGCGTTTTTTTGGCCAAGGGCGCATCTCATCCACTTGCATTTTATTTTCATTTTGCTGCTTCATCGTCCTGCAAAGGCACCGTGTTGCTTGGTGTGTCAAGGTGCCGGGCCTCTTCAGTCTTGCTCGCGGCAGCACTGGTGCTATCACCAACAAGAATGGCGGACCCTGCGCCCATGCCAGTATGGGAGCAAGTGGTCATGATACTATTTGTGGGGGGGGGCATCGTCCCGGTCGGCTTTTTTATCGCCGGCTCTGTCGTCGGTTGCCCGGTAAGCACGATAGCGATCATGATCATGGTCCAGATGCAGAAGCAGCGCAACAAGCGCATACAAGATGATAAGACAAGATCTCGTGTGATTCGAAACCAAAGCACCTGCGAGAACCACAGCACCTGCGAGGCTCTCAAAAATCTTGCCGAGTTCACGGATGGACGCCACGGGCCATCCGAGGATCTATGCGGTTTCTATCGGCACTTGGGAGTGCCAACAAATGCAAGCGCAACGGACATTGAGCTTGCCTATGTTCAGTGCCGTCAGGAACTTGAGACCGCCGACTCAGGTAATGGAGAGTTGCCGGAGTTGGAGCTGGCACATCACGTCCTCTCCCACCCCGAGCTGCGACAGGCCTACGACATGGCCGAGACAACACTCAAGCAGGTAGTTCAAAAGGGAGCCATCGATGTCGACCTCGTAGCCGTAGAGGTCTTTGGGCTAGACCGGTTTGAGAAGCATTGTGGCACGCCCCTCTTTGTCATTGTGGAGAAGCATCGCAACGACCGACAAGGTATCTTGATAGCTTTGAGGTCTCGCTATCAAGCCGTCATTGCTAGCTCGATGAAGCAACTCGCGATGCTTGAAGTGTTGCAGAGTCTAGAAGACTCGGAGGACCCAAAAAACACCAACACTTGTGCGCTGCGCGAGGCAGTGCTAGCCGATGCGAAACATATGGTGCAGACCCCATATGGCCCTCAGATGCTGCATCTTCTTGCGAACACCTACCGATCTGCTGCCACGGCCAGTGGGTGTGGCCCCGCAGCTTGGTACGCCAGGCTAAGCAACTACTTTGCTGCAAAAGCTCGAAAGTCTCGCTCCAACGACGCCGTGACGTCCCTAGCTGCGACCAGAGAGCATAGAGAGCACATGCTGCCTTTCTACGAAAGAGATCTCTACTTCGCCAAACGCATTCACACTCGCCAGATGAAGCTGGATGGAGAATCCGACACAGAGGTTGATGACGATGAAGCGAGTGACTTTGTCGATGTCTTCTTCGAACAGCCATCGGATACCACGACTCACGACGTGGCTGCGGCCGCAGATAGCCCTTCTTCTGCCTTTGCTTGCACCCCGGACGGCTTGCCGACGCGGCAGGCCGGCACAATGCTTTATGAGCCGCTTTGTGACGTGGAAGAGCTTGACGTTCAAGCACGTGCGGCTGTGATCAACGCTCTCTGGCACGATGTCAAAGCGGATGTGGGTGAGCTGGTGTATAAGGTCACGAGACGGGTTCTCCAATACGACGCCAGTCAGCTACGGTCCCGCGTTGACATCTTCTTGCTGATGGCAGACGTGTTTGACGAGGTAGCACTCTCCAAATAGTCCGCCACCTGCGACGCCCGTGAACGCCTTCTCAACCTAGATGGGACTCTCACCGGAAACACGTAGATGAGCGCCAAAGTCAGCCGGTGTCCCATACCTTTGGCTTGAATCTTGCTTCTCGCTGTCGTTGTTGTTCTATTATGGAACGCCATGGCCATGCCCGGAAGCTCGCACCCGTTTCTCTGTGCCGTCGCTACAAAAAAAATTGAAGGCACGAGTCCTCGAAGCTCAAAGATGATTAGCCCCCTCGCTGCGTGGCGACAAATACACCATCTATTTGTTTTGCATATAAGGGCATTGCAACAGGTTACCTGCTCCCGGACCTTGTCAAGAGCAAGGTCAGGGTCGAGCCACTGACGAGCTTTCAGGGCATGCTATGTTTTTCAAGGTCAATCAGCGCGATTTGGCCCGGTTGACAACTTTTCAGGGTGAACTTTGAAGGAAAAGTCCTCTAGACTCGATCATCGACACCACCACAAGGGCAACCTGGACAATCGGCAATACAACATCGCCAGTGGCTTGCAAAATGTGGCTCATCTCAGCATTAAATTCAGATCCAATCTCCTTTCTTGTTTGCTTCTTGAAGAGGTATTGATCGATATGGGCGCTCTGCCAGGATATGGGCTGCTGCTGTGCGAAGATCTGGGCCTCCCCAGTCGGGCTTTCGGAATACAGTGGAGGTCATAAGCTTCTAGCCGTGGTGGTCAGTTGGAGCGACAAAAAGGGCAAATGATGCTGCTCGCTACTTTTTTTTTTGGAGGCGAGTCGCCATGATCTCAAAGCTCGCTCGCATTCGTACGATGGGAAAAAGATTCATATGACTGGAGGGGCTGCATCGGCAGCGAACGGGCTTCTAGCAAAGGGCCAGCACCCGTGGACGGTACAAGCCCCAGTTTTGCGGTGCTTCAGACCCTGCTCGGAAAAGGCTTGGCTTGCTTTCCAGCTGCCATGACTGGCAAAGCGGCAGTACGCATGGACGGTACGAGCCCCAGTTTTGCGGTGCTTCAGACCCTGCTCGGAAAAGGCTTGGATTGCTTTCCAGCTGCCATGCCTGGCAAAGCGGCAGCACGCTTGGACGGTACGAGCCCCAGTTTTGCGGTGCTTCAGACCCTGCTCGGAAAAGGCTTGGATTGCTTTCCAGCTGCCATGCCTGGCAAAGCGGCAGCACGCTTGGACGGTACAAGCCCCAGTTTTGCGGTGCTTCAGAATCTGCTCGTATGACTATTCTCCAACACAAGCAAAAACACGCAAAAACAAGAATAGAAAGGTGGTGTAAACGTGTGTTTTTTTTGCATTTTCCTTCTTCATCTTTTTTTGGCATTTGGCTGTTTGTGGCTTTTACCCTTCTTGTTCTTGTTCCCCTATTTGGCATCGGTCTTGGCATCAGGCATCGGGAGGCTGCTCGACGTGCCTTGCTTTGGGTGTGGTGACTGATTGGGCTTCGTACGGGGCTCTCCTGATCGGGACTGTGGTGACGCTAGAACGTCTGGCTGCGCGCATCTGCCTTTTTTTTTTACATGTTCACGAGGCCACTCCACTGATCTCGCCTCAAAGTCGTCAGTGCGCTTGGGCAAACAAGTACTCCTGTGCTCGCGAACGTGACCAAGGCCTTTTGGGCAGAGGGGAGTTGTTTGTTGCATCAGGCAGCGAAGAACAAAAGCCCGCTGACCGGCTGCCGTTTTGGAAACTTCGCACACAGGTCAAACCCCAACCCGAATTTTTGGGTTATCAGACGAGTTGTTCTTGGAGGGGGCTCATGTGATTGTTGCGGATGATACCGATACCATGAGTGATGATGGAGAGCAGCTGTACTGGGCGTGTGATTCACCAGATCCACACGAGGCGCTGCAGCTGTTGACCAGTTGGGACCCACAGCGTATTCGAGATGCTGCCCAATACAAAGATGAGGTACGTGGTATGTTGTTAGGTATGATGCTGTCTGAAAATGTGTCACTGATGTGGTGACGTTACGGTATATCACGGGACGGCATGTTTGCATCATTCCACAGTGGGGCTATACAGCACTGGACCATGCCTGCATGAATGGTCATGACAAGGTGGTGGAGATGCTGTTGAAGCACGGTGTTGATGCTGAAACGAAGGACAACGTCAGTACAGTACCTCCCTCTTTCCCCCTTTACTGCCCTCTGTGAGGATGCAGCGTACCACACGATGATGGTGATGATGATGAACCTGTACGCCATGCTGTTGCATCATCCCACAGGGTGGGGATACACCACTGCTCCATGCCTGCTCTAACGGTCAAGTTGAGGTGGTGGAGACATTGTTGAAGCACGGTGTTGATGCTGAAGCCAAGAGCATCGTCAGTACGGTGCCCCCCTCTTCTTCCCTTTATCCCCCTATGATGGTGCATACATGTACATGATGCGTATGCATCTTCCTACAGGTTGGCGATACACCACTGTCCCGGGCCTGCATCAACGGTCATGTCGAGGTGGTGGAGATGCTGTTGAAGCACGGTGCTGATGCTGAAGCCAAGACCATCGTCAGTACAGTACTCCCCTCTCCCCCCCCCCCCCCCTTGTCTTCTTTCCCCCCTACCCCTGTCCTTCCCTCGTGTTCCGTCCGCCCGTTGTCGCTGATGTTGTGACTTCACATCGAGCACTATCCCATCCCTTGCCATCGCGCCTCTGCCTCTCTCGCACGCGCAAGCGGCTTTTGGTGGCCGTTTCTTCAGTTGTATCCCGCCATACTTGAAAAAAAAATGTGCCTCATGTTTCCGAACATTGATTATCATACAGGGCGGCCAAACCCCTCTCCACGCAGCCTGCACCGGCGTCTCTGCCAGCCGAGAGGGTATCCACCTACTCTTGCGGCATGGTGTCGACCCAGATGCTAGCGATCTTGTAAGCTCTTCACCACGGTGCCATGCTTCTCCGCTCCTCTGCTACACCGGCGCTTGATACCTGATGGCTGGCAGAACGGTACACGGCCCTTGGATCTGCTCCTTTGCAGGGCTCACATCGAGCTGGAGGTGGGTCCTTTTTTTTTTTATTTGCGGTCCTGATTGCAGAGGCAAGCTTGCTTACCGATGAATTTGTTTCACTTTATAGGTGGTTGTAGAGCTATTGTGCGCAACGCGTACCCCTTGCTCCTACCAAACTTCCAATCCCGATGGTGCGAACCTGATTCCCATGTCATTGTTCGCATTGGCTTGTTCTCATCGGATTTTTCACCGTGGTGCCAGTCCAAGGCTTGATTCATGCGGAGCAGACCAGACGCTGGCGGTGCGCTGCTGCTGTTCTCTGTGACGTCGGTTGGCGCGTGGACCCTCAATTGTTCAATATCCAAGACCTACAAACCCTGTGTGACTGCGTGGCCGCTCTAACGTCCGCCACTTACGCTGCACTTGCAAGTTGAAGGGTGTGACGCTCGTGGTGCGCTTGTCGATTACTATGCAAATAGACAATAAAGTCACCGGGTAGGGCCGGATTTGCCAGCCGTTTGAAGCAGAAGAGTTCGATATCGGCAACGCTGGGGTAGTGTGGCAATTGAATGCAGTAGATGTATGTCTGGTGCTTGCTCCTACACTACCTTATTCCCTTCGTTGAAAGTGATTCAAAGGGGCTCGGTGATCAATGACACCACAAGGCAGCCAAACAGTCAGCACCATCACGAGCACGCTGAGCCGCATCAAACTCGCTCCGGCTCGCCCGTGGAGTGACCAGCGCAAGCGCAAACTGAAAAAAAAAAAAAAATAAAATAAAATAAACAAGAAGAAGCACAAGAAGCACCAACATCGTGAGCGCGAGACGCGTTCGCTCCGCCATCTGCTCTGGAATGCCCAGCTGGCCAGCAATCGTGACGAGCGATCACGCGGCTCAATTGCTGGTCAAGGCAGCAGCTGCTCAGAATTCGAGAGCAAAACAGTCAGCCCAACACACCCGTTTTCTCGACCTCACCGCGTCTGCCATCTCTTCACAGGTACGACTTGGTTGATTCGCGTGAAATCGTCATCTTTGGAAACGCTCAGATCTATGCAGAGTTGATCGTCTACTGAACCGCCTGCGTACGTGTGAATGGACTTTTGTGTTGCGTGTCAGTCTCTGCGCATTGCCGTCCGGTATTACGTTAACAACCTGCTTGGTTTGGACCTCTACTTTCCAAATTAAGCTTTTCATTTAACGAAACTCTCATGCCTGCCCTTGGCCACTCGCATTGGCAATTATAAAGCCATGGCCTAAGACGGCCCTTTTTCGACAAGTTAAAAGGCCTTTTGGCTTCAAACCCTCGGTGATCTTCACTTTGTCACAAGAAGGAAACCAGGGCCGGCGTCAAAAGTGCGCACTGACTTCTTTGCCAGGCTCGGAGCGCGTCGCAAGTGATCCTGCCACTGGTTTGGTGAAGCCAAGACAACTAGCGCTGGTTTGCCAACCACCCTGGTCGCGCTCTTTATCAAACATGCAGCTTTTCTTCAACAACAGTGGCTCTGGCAAGTCTTGGTGTACATCAGCAGTCCTCTACGCAGCCCTTGTTTGCTGGGAGGAGCCGGGTCGACCGAGGGACGCTACGTGCTTGCAATCAAAGTTCATCATCAGGAGAAGATAAGCGGTGAGATTTGGCAGTGACATGTGAAAAAAACGCTGAGAAGAATGCATTCCAAGTTGCAGGCAGCCAGAAGACAGCACCGCCTCGCAATGCTCGAGAAGCTGCTGTGGTACTTGAAAGCTTGTGTGCTTGTAAGCTTGTGTGCTTGTACGCTTGTTTGCTCATAAGCTTGCTTGTGTCTTTTTTTGTTTTTTTTTAAAAAGGCACGTTCATGTAATGTTGTTTGGTACTTGTACATCCGGATGTACATGTAAATCGGTTTCTTCTTCACTGGCATTTTTCATCGGTGGTGTTTCGGGCACTTTGCTTGCGTGCAGTTTGATATCGCGTGGTCTAGCTTTGATGAATCGTTGGCAAGACGCTGGTTGCTTGGTGTGCGTCTCGTGAGTATGCCGTGGCAACGCCGGGACGTCCGGTTGAGGGTGATTGGACGTGCTGCGTTTTTTTTTGTTTTTTGGGGGGGTGAGGGGCGTCGTCACTGCGACTCATCCTGTCAACGATTGCAGTCCGCGTGGTGCGCTGGGCTAACAACAACACAACTCTTTTGCGACGGATCGCCGGTGACAAGCCCACTGTGTTTTATCGGCCTGTGCAGGGTGAACAAGGTTGGCTGATCGGCTGCCGTTTGGCGCATGTTCCTTTTGCCGTGGGTCCTTTCGACATTTAATAATAATGATAACAATATCATTATTCTGTGTTTGACAGATCGGGACAGGGCTAGGTGATGTGCAGGGCGCAGAATCGAGCACGAAGAATGTCAGTTGAGCTCGGACGCAGAGGAGTTGTGGGCTGCGTGCATTTCACGCGACCTTTCAAGAATGTTGGAGCTGCTGACCAGTTGGGAGCCTCAACGTATCCGATCCGTTGTCCAAGAAAGGAATGGGGTACGCACGCCAATTGATTGTACCAAATTCTGGATGATAAGGATCTTGTGACGTGGCGATCTGGGGTACACTTTGGAGCTTGCCCGATGATGCTGCATTGCTGCGTGTGGTCACAGGTCGGGTGTACACGACTGTTCTCTTCCTGCCGACGAGGTTTCTTCGAGGTGGCGTTAATCATGTTGAAGCACGGCGCCGATGCTCGAGCGTTGAGCAAAGTTTGTCACGCTTGTGAAGATGATCCGCGACTCGAGTTTGACCACAATTTGTCTTTCTTGCTGAGGACCTTGCTTGGCCAACGATGAAACATGCGAAGAGTGCTGGACTTTGTGATGCCCGCCCTGACGTGTTTGCGGTGGGCCAATTCACAGGGTCACTGGACACCACTGCACGCTGCTTGCGGTTGTGGTCGCGTGAAGGTCGTCGATGTCCTGTTGGAGCATGAAGTTGATGTGAATGCTCAATCACTAGTCGTAAGAATGGTCAATCATTTTCTGTTTCTCTCCGATGGTCTGCATCAGCTGCTGGTGCAACGACCAACTTGTCATCTTGTGGGATTCATGATGATGCCGAACCTGCAATTGTCAACCAAACTACAGGGCAGCTCCCCACTGCATTCCGCCTGCGAAGGAGGTTTTGTCGAGGTGGTGGAGAGACTGTTAAGGCACGGCGCTGACGCCAAAGCCAAAGGCAATGTCAGTACCTTCCTTCACCCCTTGCAGCTGCTACTCTCTTATGCTGATCTCGTTTTTCTTTTTCCTGTCTCTGTCCCTATCCCGATCTTTGTCGAGCTGGCTTGCTGGCCGGTGGGCTATCACTCTCTTCTTCACTCTCTGACTGTCCTCCTCTCTCTTTCGTTGCATCGACATATGGTGATAATAATATATCAAAGACTCATTATGATGCTGCCTGGTTATATTGCGCCTGGGTGGTGGGATAACCCACAGAATGGCGATACTCCACTACACATGGCCTGCCTTTACGGTCACACGGACGTGGCAAAGATGCTGTTGGAATTCAGCGTTGACGCCGAAGCCAAGAATAACGTCAGAGCTGCTCTATGGTGCCAGATCGCACTTCTCACTTCTCTTTGTTGGTTTGCATGCTGCTGATTAACTCACTGGTACCAAAAATGTCTTGACACCGTGGGACACGTTCATGCTGTGACTGGACGTGTGGTCACGATGGTGGTGATGGGACGGCATGCCCCCGCCAGAATGGCGATACACCACTGCACCATGCATCCAGCAACGGTAATGTCGAGGTAGTGGAGATTCTGTTGAGGCGCAACGTGAATCTTGAAGTCAAATCCAACGTTGGTATCTTCAGCCTTGTCCTTTTGTTCGTCTTCAGTTGCTCTTTCTCTCTTTTGGTGCTGGGTTGCTAATACACCCAACAGACATGCGAACAAATGGCTCATCCCGCTACTGTACGATGTATGACGATGCTGCATTGCATGTGTGATGCGGTGGTGGTATCATCCCACAGGATGGTAAAACATCCCTCCATCTTGCGTGCGAACACGATCGTGCAGACGTGGTGGAAATACTGATCCAGCGTGGTGCTGACATCAAAAGCAAGGACAACGTCAGTACCTTTACCTTTTTCTGTCTATGAAAATGTTGCCTGATATGTTTGATCTTTATTTTCCTGGCTGTTTCTGCGCTCGAACGACTTGCTTGATTTGGCCTTACATGCTGGTTCGACAGAGCAACTCGACGCCTCTTCATGCGGCTTGCCGTCGAGGTTCTACCAGTATTCTGCCCATACTTCTGAAGCGCGGTGCAGATGTTGACGCGTTGAATGCAGTCAGTTTTCCAAGAGACTGGCTTGGGTTTCCCCTCTGCTTGGAATATGCGTTTTGAATTTGCAACTTGTTTATTGGCTCAGATCTTTTGCCGAGGCTGTTTATCCAATGATATTATGTTTGAGTTTCATCTTCGATGCCTGGGGTCAAGGTCAAACTGATCAAAACTTACACTGGCAATGTAGGATCAACAAAGCCCTCTTGATTACCTTTTCGGCATTCGCTGGATCGATGCGGAGGTAGGAAGTTTGCCCAAGCTTGTACTGTGGCTTCTCGTAACTTAACGTTGATTCTCTATGCGCTCTGGCATCAGTTGATTATCGAAATGCTTCGCGTCAGCCGTCGGCCCAGGTTGCAAGCAAGCCCGTGGCCGCGAGGTGAGATGCCGATCTTCAAATCGTCTGTCTCGCAATGCTCATAATAGTTTTGAACGGCTGTAGTTCAAGCCGTAATCCTGGCCGAGCAGAAAAGATTCTGCGATGCTTCGGTTGCGGTTCTTTTTGGTGTGGGCTGGCGCGTGAAGCCAATCGCCTTTGAGATGCGTGCGTTCAATGACATCAAGCATATTCTTCGCAAGATTCAAGAAGCAGAACACCAGACGCCTCTCATGGCTGGTGCACACCCCTTCTGAGGAGTTGTATCGGGATAAGCATTGGCGCAGGTCTGGTGCTGTTTGGTCACGACTGACCCTGGCAATTGTAATTGATGACGACAGGGTGCTGTCTGAGGTTTTACAGCTATCTCCACCGCTTTTGATGGGAGTGTTAATTCACTCGTTGTATCCGTGTCTGATCCGGCTGTCATCATTCAGCCAGGTTGAAGCATGCTGATACTAGCATGGGTGATCAGCTGGCCCTTTTTTGAGGTGGCTCCGGCAAAAGAGCCAGAGAGTCCCGAGACAAAGGTAGTGTCAGAGACAGACATAGAGACAGACATAGAGACAGAGACAGAGACAGGGAAAGAGACAGAGATAGAGACAGAGACAGAGACAGAGACAGGGAAAGAGACAGAGATAGAGACAGAGATAGAGACAGAGACAGAGACAGAGACAGAGACAGAGACAGAGACAGAGACAGAGACAGAGACAGAGACAGAGACAGAGACAGAGACAGAGACAGAGACAGAGACAGAGATGGAGAGAGTGATAGAGACAGAGGCAGAGGCAGAAACAGAGACAGAGACAGAGATAGAGATGGAGATGGAGACTGAGATAGAGAGACCAGAGACAGAGATAGAGATAGAGACCGAGACAAAGAGTGTCAGTTAGGGTGTTTGCATGTCAGAACAACCTCTTTTGGTTAGTATCAAATTGTTGGATTACACAACGCCTTGCGTTACTTTGCAGCAGTGGATCGGATGAACTTTCCGTACGCGACGCGATCGGATCGATCGGATGATGCACAACGCCGTCGTGATGCTGCGTTGGATTGTTTGCGGCCTGCTTGTGGGGATAGGTACAACGGCGGTTGACGCCGCTGTGGCCGGCCACACCATCGTTGAGACGGACGCATCAGGACAATTTATCAACATCACGTTGACGGGCGGCGACACGCGAGTGCTGAAAAATGGGGTTGAAATACTTCGAGCGCTAGCTGAGTTTTGCAAGCTCCCTGTGCTCTGAGTATCCAGCTCCCAACACCGCGAACTCTAACCCTAACCCTAGCCCTAACCCGCGCCTGCGTCTGGGTCGACCTGCTCCTCGAAGACCCTGCACAGCGGCCCCACCTGGCGCTGGCCACCGTGTTCGTCTCACACGCCTGGAAGTATAGCTTTGCCACGACCCTCGCCACGGTACTGTACCACAAGCGCACGGAGGCGCCGGGCGCCTACTACTGGCTCAATCTCATCCCCGACAACCAGCACGCTGCTGCCGACTTCCCTTACGAGTGGTGCGTTTCGTGGTGTTGTCGGGTTGCTGGCTGGCCGTGTCACTGACGGCCTTGGATGTGGCAGGTGGTGCAACACGTTTCAGGAGAACTTCAAGGTGATTGGGCGGGTGTTGCTGGTGATGAGCCCCTGGCGCGACCCCGTGCCCATGACGCGGGCCTGGTGCCTGTTTGAAATGATGAACGCCTTGAACGGGCAGGTGCAGCTGGACATTCGGCTGCCCAAGGCCGAGGTCGACGGGTTTGTGGACGCTTTGGCAAAGGACAGTGACGAAGTGATGGACATGCTTGTGCGCGTGCAGGTGTAAAAGACCGAGGCGTTCAAGGCCAGCGACCGGGCCATGATCTTCAAGACGGTGGAGGCGACGTTGGGCTTTACGGAACTCAACGCCCGAATCAAGGCGCAGCTGCGGGCGTGGTGCCTGGAGCAGGCGCTTGTGGCGGCCAGAGCGCGAGAGGTGGAGGACGGTGAAGGGGTGGGATTTGCAAGTTTTTGCATGCAGATTGCAAGTTTTTTTTATGGACTTTGGCGAGTATGAGCAAGCGCTCAAGTACTACGGCAAGGCGTTGAAGATCCGATTGGCAACGCTGAGCGACGCGCACCCGGACACGGCCACCACCTACCATGGCATGGCCGGTGTCTACAACAAGCAGGGCCAGTACGAGCAGGCACTCGAGTACTTCATGATTCGATTGGCGACGCTGGGCGAGGCAAATCCAGACACAGCCACCACATACAACAACATGGCCGGTGTCTACGACAACCAGGGCCAGTACGACAAGGCGCTCGAGTACTACAGCAAAGACTTGAAGATCACATTTGCAACGCTGGGTGAGGAGCACCCGGTTGCATCCAGCACCTACAATGGCATGGCCCTTATCTACAACAAGCAGGGCCAGTACGACAAGGCGCTCGAGTACTACGGCAAGGCCCTGACGCTATATTTGGCGACGCTGGGCTAGGCGCACCCCCACACGGCCACCACCTACATTGGCATGGCCGGTGTCTACAAGAAGCAGGGTCAGAACGACAAGGCGCTCGAGTGCCACGGCAAGGCCCTGGCGATCAAGTTGGCGACGCTGGGTGAGGAGCATCCGAACACGGCCGCCACCTACAACAACATGGCCGGCCTCTACAAAGAGCAGCGCCAGGACGACAAGGCGCTCGAGTACTACGACAAGGCCCTGACGATTCAATCGTTGACGCTGGGTGAGGCGCACCCCTCCACGGCGACCACCTACCACAGCATGGCCCTTGTCTATAACAACCAGAACCAGCACGAGCAAGCGCTCGAGTACTTCAACAAGGCCCTGACGATCCGATTGGCGACGCTGGGCGAGGAGGACCATCACACGCGCCAAGTTCAAGCGGCTATTCGCCGGTTAGAGGAAGCCCGATAACTTGTGCTTGCGCTCGACCTTCAATTACATTGAACAAAGAAATCCCTTTCGCCTCGACGTCTCTATTGGACCGACTAGACACATTCGCACAGTCCCGTCGAAGCTGACCTTGGACAAGAGTGGCGGCCGCAGAGTGCAGATGTCACTTTATTTTGTAGTTGTTGTGATAATTTCCCGTGCTGTAACCATGTGAAAGAGCTGTAGCTCTAGGCCCTTTCCCAGTCCCATATCCCTCTGGCTCTAGCCTCAGGTCTCGCAGACCCGAACACATGGCGTCGGCGATGCTCCACCAGCGCTCCATCTCTAAGATCTGGGCATTGGTGTGGTGTGGCGCTCTGCACTTGCTCTCAGGAACTACGATTCGAACATGTAAACCAAGTTGTCACTCAGACTGTTTTTTTTTTTTTGGAATTTTCTCATCCCAATCCATGGCCATGTCCTCTCAATCCCCAAGTCCCACCGCAAGCCGCTCATGTACGCCATCCCTGGCCATGGTGCTGCTGCCACTGATCATGATGAAAAAGAATCTGAACAGAATTGGGCGTGGCTCTTGGGCGGAAGCGGGGTGGCTTGGGCCCGGTTGGCTGCGGGGAGCAGGGAGGTGGAAAAGGGACAGTACACGTCGTACGTACAAGCCCCAGCTTTGCGGTGCTTCGGAGCCTGCTCGTAACGGTCTTGGAATTCTTTCCAGCTGTCATGGCCGGCAAAGGGCCAGCACACGTCCGCACAAGCCCCAGCTTTATGGCGCTTTCGGAATTTGCTGCTTGCATGACTTTTTCAGAACGACAGACAGAAAAAAAAAAGAGAAGAAAAGGAGAGAGAGAGAGATTTTGAGAGAGAGATTTTGAGAGAGAGAATTTGAGAGAGTTTGAGAGAGAGATTTTGAGAGAGATTTTGAGAGAGATTTTGAGAGAGAGAATTTGAGAGAGAGAATTTGAGAGAGAGATCTCTGAGAGAGTTTGAGGGAGAGAGCACATGTATGAGAGAGAGTTTGTGAGAGAGAGTTTAAGAGAGATTGGAGACAGAGAGAGACAGAGAGACAGAGAGACAGAGAGACAGAGAGACAGAGAGACAGAGAGACAGAGGGACAGAGGGACAGAGAGACAGAGGGGCAGAGGGACAGAGAGACAGAGAGACAGAGAGAGAGACAGAGAGACAGAGAGACAGAGGGGCAGAGGGAGAGACAGAGAGACAGAGAGACAGAGGGGCAGAGGGACAGAGAGACAGAGAGAGAGACAGAGAGAGAGACAGAGAGACAGAGAGACAGAGGGGCAGAGGGACAGAGAGACAGAGAGAGAGACAGAGAGAGAGACACAGAGAGAGAGACAGAGAGAGAGAGAGACAGAGAAAGAGAGAAAAAGAAAGAGAGACAGAGACAGAGACAGAGTGTGTTTTTTGCTTCTTCCCCACTTTCACTTTTGCTTTTGACCTTGAGGTTTTGACCCTCTTCTTCTTCTTTTCCTCCTCTTTGATATCGGTATCGACATCGGCATCGGCTTCGGCAGGCTGCTGGGCGTGCCTTGCTTTGTGTGCGGCGCTTGACCACTTGTGCTTGCTACGTGGCTCTCGTGATCGGGACTTGTGGTGACGCTGGATCCTTTTTTTGTGGAGAGCATCGCTGCCACTTTTCTTTTTTTGTGGGGTCACTGATCTCACTTCACAGTCGTCAGCGTGCGCTTGTGCAAGCAAGTGCACCTGTGCTCGTGAATGTCGACCAGAACTATCGACCAGAGTTGAGGCGTTTGTTGCATCAGACAGAGAAGAGTCAGACCTGCTGACCGGCTGCCGTTTTGGAAACTGCGCGCGCAGCCCGAATCAAACGAGTTGTATTTGGAGGGGGCTTATGAGATTGATTTTGGATAGAGAAGCAGGCAAAGCGGTTTGAAGCGGATGGTGAAGAGAGAGAGAGACCGTTACCATGAGTGATGATGGAAAGCAGCTGTTCAGTGCTTGTCGTTCATGGGATCCACGAGAGGCGCTGCAGCTGGTGACCAGTTGGGACCAACAACGTATACGAGATGCTGCCCAATACAAAGATGAGGTATGTATGCTGTTTGGCATGCTGTTGGTGACACTTTGACTGCAACACTGAATGGGTGACGTTATGGTATAACATGGGACATATACTGCATGTTTGCATCATCCCACAGAGTGACTGGACACCACTGCACAATGCCTGCATTAAGGGTCATGTCAAGGTGGTGGAGATGCTGTTGAAGCACGGTGCTGATGCTAAAGCCAAGAGCAAGGTCAGTGCAGTACCTAACCCTCTTCCCCTTTACCCCCCCTATGTTGGTGCACCTGTACCCCATGATGATGGTGATGATGATGATGATGATGATGATGATGATGATGCTGTACCTGTACGTCATGCCGATGCATCATCCTACAGCTTGGCTATACACCACTGCACAATGCCTGCTATAACGGTCAGGTCAAGGTGGTGGAGATGCTGTTGAAGCTCGGTGTTGATGCTAAAGCCAAGACCAACGTCAGTACAGTACCTCCCTCTTCTCCCCTTTACCCCCTTTGATGCTACACCTGTACCACATGATGATGCTGATGATGATGCTGATGATGATGCTGTACCTGTACGTCATGCTGATGCATCATCCCACAGCTTGGCTATACACCACTGCACGATGCCTGCGGTAGCGGTCATGTCAAGGTGGTGGAGATGCTGTTGAAGCTCGGTGTTAATGCTAAAGCCAAGCACAACGTCAGTACAGCACCTATCATATGATGATGATGATGATCATGCTGTACCTGTACGTCATGCTGATGCATCATCCCACAGGATGGCGATACACCACTGCACTATGCCTGCAAAAACGGTCATGTCAAGGTGGTGGAGATGCTGTTAAAGCACGATGTTGATACTGAAGCCAATAACCACGTCAGTACAGTACCTCCCTCTTCTCCCCTTTCCCCCCTGTGATGCTACACCTGTACCACATGATGCTGATGCTGATGCTGATGCTGTACCTGTACGTCATGCTGATGCATCATCCCACAGGATGGCTGGACACCACTGCACTATGCCGGCGCTTACGGTCATAACAAGGTGGCGGAGATACTGTTGAAGCACGGCGCTGAAACTGAAGCCAAGAACAACGTCAGTACAGTTCCTAACCCTCCCTCTTCTCCCTTTACCCCTCTGGCTGCTGCTCCTGCTCCCGCTGCCCGTCGTCCCTCGCTCCTCTACACCCTGCCCACCCGTGCGCTTCCGTTCTCCCCCCCTGGCTCCTTTTCTTCCTTCCCGCTATCCCTCTTCTTCCCCGTTTTGCGTCCGCGTTTTGCCGGTGCTCCCTGCACCCCGCTCTGTTCCGTTGTATCTTGAGCCTGCTTCCCTTTTCCGACGTCGTGCCTTCATTCTGGACGCTACCCCATCCCTTGCCATCGCGCTTCTGCCTTTCTCGCACACTCAAGTGGCTTTCAATGGCCGTTTCTCCAGTCTGACCCCAGCACACTCGACGCTCAACCCCCTCACACAAAAAAAAAAAAAAAAAAAAAAAAAGTCGTGTCTCATGTTTCTGAATATTGATTGTATATAGCGCGGCACCACGCCGCTGCAACTAGCCTGCACTGCCTCATCTGCCAGCCGAAAGGTTGTCCAGCAACTCTTGCGTCACGGTGCCGACCCAGATGCGAGAGATCTTGTAAGCCTTTTGGCACAATGCCGTACCTTTTGCGCTGTTCTGCTGCACCTGCGATTGATACCTGATGACCTGCTGTGGCAGACTGGTGCACGACTCTTGGATCTGCTTCTAGACAGGGATCCCATCAAACTGGAGGTGGGCCTTTTTTTATTTGTGATACTAATTGCCAGAGGCAAGCTTGCTTACCGATGAAGCTGTTTCCCTTTATAGGTCATCACAGAGCTACTGGGCGCAACACAAACCCTTTGCTCCTACCAAACTTCAAATTCCGATGGTGCGAACCTGGTTAACATGTCATTGTACAAATTGTCTTGTTCTCATTGGAGTTTTCAACGTGGCGCCAGTCCAAGGCTTGATTCATGCGGAGCAGGCCAAACGCTGGCGGTGCGCTGCTGCTGTTCTCTGTAGTGTCGGCTGGCGCGTGGATCCTCAATTGTTCAATGTCCCAGATTTACAAACCCTTGGTGACTGCGTGGCCGCTCTAACGTCCGCCGCTCAAAATACACCTACGAATTGAAATATGTGAAGCTTGCGGTGGGCTTGTCGATCGCTATGCCAACAGAGAATGAAGTCAATGGGGCAGGGCGGGCTTTGCCAGATGTCTGAAGCAGAACAGTTCAACAACCACCGAAAAAGCGCGAGAAACAGTCCTGTCTTCATTCGCCATGACATCGACTGATGACCATGGTGTCTCGGTAGTGGCGGCTGCGGCGCTGCACGAGCTGGTAAGGAGGGGGACTCGCCGAAGGAGAAATGGAACAAGCGCGAGCCAAAAAAAAGACAAGAAGAAGTACTAGAAGCACCATCATCATGTATTGGACTACAAGCATAGACGTTTGTCCAGAAGCTATTGGAGTACTGGAATATGCCAGTCCTGGCGATGATGTTTGATTATCCTTCACAGTGCTCGTCAAGGAGAGATGTAAAGCATCGTGATTGTTCCCGCCATCGAGATATAAGTACCGTCTGGTAGACCCGAGTGGCATTTTACTTTGTACCTTTCCCGTTTATCTTTCATCTGAGTTTACTGCCGCTGTAGAAGGATGAGAGTTCACTTGGCTGTCTTCTAAACAGGCGTCGGATCATTCGAGATCGCTTTACACTCTCACGCTTCTTGCCTCGATGAAATGAGCTGGTTTTGAAGATGCTTTGTGCCAGCCACCGGCCCAGATCATATCAAAGCTTGATACCAGAAGTTGAGGTAGTTAAGTCTAGCCGTGAGTCCTTGTGTTTCTCACAATAGACTTGGGTGGCTCGAATTCACCGAGCAGAAGAGGCTCTGCGACACTTTGGTTGCGGTCCTTTTCAGTGTCGACTGGCGCGCACAACTTGAGATGTTTGAGGCGCGTGCGTTTAACGATCTGCGGTCTATTATCAGCAAGTGACAAACCCAAAACCCAAGCGAGCGACTAGCAAAACGCTTTTCGAGACCATCACCCGTGACTTTTGCTCGGACGGCTAAAATCGAGCAAGCCGAGCCTGAGGCTTGCATGTCAACGCGGTTCACACTGGTGGAAATGAGCGTCAGGCTTTTGCGGTGCGGGGCTGCAAATCAGCTCAAACTTGCGCCCTGCAAGGACATCTGCGTGATAATTCAGCCTCAACCGCCTCGAGGGCACGCTTTATCAGGCAGGGGTGGTGGCGGTGCTTGTCAATCAGCTGGTGGTTTCATTGTCTGCGCTTTGCTCATGATGGTGGTGATGGCTCACATGCACAACCATGGTGGTGGTGTTGCAAGCACCTGTGTTGCTGCCCTTTCCTGCCTGCGGACCGAACAAGATGGCAATCGAGAGCATGGACCGCATCCAAAGTTCTGCTGACCATAACTTTAAAACTTTAAAAACTTAAAACTTTACATGTACATCAAAGGAACAAAAGATTTTTTTGCGACAACAATTGAAACTTTAAAACGGATGTTAATGGCGGTGTGAACAAAATTTAATCTTTCCACTGGCTCTTCTTTTTTTTTTTTTACGCGCCTGAAAACGGCGCCTGGGGCTCTGAGGCGCAGAAGGCAGGCAAATGCAGCCCCAAAGAAGCAGCTCGGCCACGTGATGCACCGGTTGCATGCACTCATGTGCTGGCGAGGCGGAAGAATGACGTCAAAATGATAAACTGGTTCGCACTGCCAAGAATCAGTGTCTGTGTGCTTTTCCAGCGAGAGGCAAGTTGCTCACCCAGCGCGGCACGGCACGATAGGATCAAGGAGATATGCACACTGAGGCTCTTGTCAAAGCGCTGAGCGCATGTTCAAAGCGTGTTGTGAGAAACATTGATCACGTTGGGTGCGTTCTGATGTCAAGACGTGGCATGGAGTCTACCATGCTCCCAGGCGAATGCTGCTTTGCGCCGTGCGTCCCTTGCTTGAGACAGCCGCGGCCAAAACAGCTGCACCTTGAGTTCTGAAGAGCTCAGAGCTGACGGGACGGCCTCTGGCACGTCATGGAAAGCGTATGGGCCTGTATGACTTGATTGCAAGACAGGTTGACGGTGAGTGAGGCCTCGTGAGGACATTGCCCATCACCAAACGCCGTCCCGAAGCGCTTTGGTTAATTTTGTTGACAGGGGTCCCGAGGCCATGTTATAGGATCGGCTGATGGCAGGCTAATGTCATAGCTTGTGCTTGTCAATGACTTGCATGTGTGCTACTTTGGGCAAGCACTGGCAGCTCGAAACTTCTGGCTGCCGCTTGAGCCGACCGTGCGCGCCCTTTAAAACTTGTTGAGCTTTAAAATGTTGACCACGCGCGCGCCTCCGTGACAGCCAGTCAAGGACCAACCGACAAAACATGAGGATGCTGCACAGTGTCAAGCAAACATGCGCGATGAATTTCTCGAGATGTTTGCCTGCGATGCTGCCGTATTTAGGTACGACCTGCCGTTCCAAGCGCTGGTCCGGGCTTGGCTTTGCTGTACGGGCTTTTTCTCATGGCGGGATTTGGTCATGGCAGCACTTTTGCATGGTCAATCTGCAGCTACTCAGAAGCTCGCGCGGTATGGCGGGCGCATTTGCGCCGCTTGTGACGGTGTATGAAGTGTGTCTGTGACCTTGTTGAGGTAGGCTCTGCCGTTTGAGCAAGTGGGCCCTGCCAGTCCTGGGTGAGGCCATTGAGGTGCTTTTCTGATGGGACACTCGGGTACGAAGGATCATAGGTTGCTCAGCCTCACATATGTGATTAAAAACACAGTCATGTTGCTTTCAACGGGATATCATGGATATCAGACGACGTTTCGAGCCAGGCGCTGCCCTGTGAGCCTGTGAGCGTGCGCGTGCCGTGCCGAGCCTGGATGAGGCCTTGGGGGTCCTCAACTGATGTGCTTGGCTGCGAATGAACACGGGCTATTCAGGCGCACATGCTTTGCAAAGGAACACGTCACGGTGCCTCGTGCGTGAGTGTATGGAAGGTTGATGCCGTTGGGAGGTAGGCGCTGCCGTGGAAGCCCGTCGGGCCATGCCTAGCTCTACGGGTCAATCCGGGCTGCCGTTTATCAAGGTGGCCCGTGAAGTGTAAATTGGTTCAAGCCGGAACGGAGGTAGGCGGCTCATGATGGAGTTTGTGTGGCACAGATGGGCCGCGTGTGAAACTGGACTTGGCAAGAAGCATTACAGGACTGAGGGTAGAACACAGGTATGTACAATGTTCATCAACGATCATCGTGAGGCCAACCAAGCTGCCATTGCTCCCGAAAGCAAAAAGATCGTTCACTCATTCTCGCCCTGAATTCGGCTTGGTCTGATGAAAGTGTTTGATCGTCTAGGCGAAGTTTGCGCATACGAATTTGAACGCAGATGCCAGATGCCACCTGCCCTCAACTCTTCAAGCTTTCCACCTTTCACGTCAATGTGGATGCTGCTCATCCCTCGCGCCGATACAGCTGGTTCAACACAACGGCAAACTCCCCATTTTCAACGCTTCTTCGACCAGCTCGCTGCCCAGCCCGCTTCCGCCTGCTATCAGCATTTGCCGCCTCCACCTCACCCATGCTTCCTGCAACGACATGACGGGCCTTTACTATGCACTTGGCAGCCTCTTTGACGATCGCTCCCAGCTCAAAGACCTCTGGGGCTTGACCCATGAAAAACCCCAAACGGCGTGTGTGTCAAATAGCGAGAAATGACCCAGCAGCACGCGGCTGCGCATCCTGTTTTGTCTGCACAATGAAATTGCAAGTATGATCATGTTTCAATGGCACGATCCTGTCGCTGCTCGACCAGAATCAGGTCCTTTTGAAAAAGACAATTCACTATCAGCTTACTAATGCGTCCGTTGAGGGGCTTCATGCTGCTGAAGCTATTGCTGACAGTCATCAGCGCTGGATGACCTCACCGAGGCGTGGTTGATGAATATCACTTATGACAATGCGGCCAGCAACACGAGATTGTACCAGATTTTGACGCTCCATGGTGTGGCCAGAGAAGTTGGACCGCCATCAAAAAAATATCGTTTATTCTGCGACTTCCAGCCAAACTTTGTCCCTCCGCCCGGACCTGACAGTAGCCAACTATTATGAAGGCTTGCACAACGATGGCCCCGCCTCGAGGACCCGAGAGGTTTTGATCTGAACTCCGCCATGAGCCCCCACGTCATCGTGGACAGCGGCATGGGTTGATAAGAGGCTGGGTCTCCACTGGCGCAAGGGGTGCGCCCCGACAGTCATGTTTGTAAACAGCGACGGCGAGTCACCGGCTCCCTCAACCTGATGGTAGCGCATCCCTAGTGACCTCGCCACCATTTGGTTTGTTGGAGCCATACGATCTGGGCTGCTTCGGTAATGACACACTAGTCGCAATCTACACTCAGCTAAATAAACTCGTAGCTCGCCTTCAGCAAGCCGGCGCCTCCGACAGCAACCTCAGCCCCAAGCAGGAATGGAATACGATTGTCTACATTTTTTTTTCGTGTGTGTGTCTTTGAAAGGCATCTCGTGATTCAAAATTTATTGAGAGGTCAAGCGCTCAGCTTTGACACGGGTAGAGGCGGGGTTGTCGGCAACATCAAAAACAAGGCCGATTCGTGCGTGTTGTGGCGGTGGAATGGTCGGGGCAGGTCTCCTTTACAAGGAATGTTTGTTTTTTTGCAGACTCGGGTGCTTGGTGAGGCTGTGGGCAGCCAGCAAAGAGGGCAGCACAGGATGCGCAACGTTGCAACCATCGACCAGGCAGCTCATATGCTCCTATGATTGCGTGCCGTAGTGCTTGCATGCCATGATGCTCAGTGACTGTTGTTGTGACTTGGTTGGCTTTGATATTTTTTGTTTGGCTTCAACAGAGGCAGCACGACATGGCGTGCTTTTGACGTGCTGGCTGCTGCGTGCAGTATTGAAAGACGATTTGAGCTGAGACAGTTCAGCGGTTCAATTGCACTTCTCTCACAGGAGAGAATGATAGAAAACAGGAAGGGAAATATCCAAAAGAAAATGCCACTCACGGTCAGCGGGACCGTACTTATAATCCGGTGGCTAAACACACCCAGAGTGTACGAGAGGGTTCCTCGACGGGCAGCAGCAGGTGCACATCGTCGAGTACATTGATGCAATCCTTTCAGAGGGTTCTGGCAGGTCGTCGATGCTTGCACCCCAACAACGTGGATGACCTTGGGACTGGTCTGCGAGCCATGCGAGCCAGAATGGACGGAAATTCTCACCAAGGAGCTGCTCTTTAATTCGGGGCTCGAGAAGCGAGTTTATGCTGTCCTGCCCTTGTTGCTGGACTCGAATCAGCCCGGGCCCCCTCAGTCCTGGGACGGCCGGGATTTGAAGGACATCGACGGTCATGACTTTTATACAATGCTGCTGGAGCACATCTTGGAAACTCCAGAGCTAGTCGAGGAGTTTTCCATGCCTGATGCACCCGGCAAGTTTAGCATAGAACCAGTGTGGCGCTGGATCTGCTCCCTGCGAGAGTTTAATCGCCTGGCATTGACGTATGCACACCTCTCAACTGGTACGTCTGGTAGTCTGGGCGTACGAACATATTACTGTACACAACGCAGAGTTTCACCATGCATCTGTGCATAGGTCTCCCCGTGCGTGCGATGGTATACACGAGCCTTTTCTATCGCGACTCCTCCGCCAGCCCCAGAAATGTCTTCTTCTCCGGAGACCGCTTGGCGTTTGTCGCGCGACGAAGCAAAACCACATGGATCAGCAACCGCGAGTCGCATGCTGCACACTACATGGACAAGCGGGCCAGTGCGGTCATGATGGCGTACCTGTTATTGTGCAAGCCGCTGGAGGAGCTGTTTGCTGATGACTTGCAAGATCGAGACGAATTGATCACGTCCTCGGCAATAGATCCCAATTCTCTGACGGAAGAAGAGCAAGATGAGCTCGAGGCCGACGCAATGGAGGTCGAAGATTCAATCGAGCCAGACACTGTTGGCTCTGTTGACGACCAGCACGACGATCTACGAGCGGCCAAGCGTGTCGCACAGGAGGGGACGTATGAGCTGCTGTTCAACATTGCGCCAATGCAGCTCGAAAAACAGCTTCGGCCAGGCCAAGTCTACCGAACCATCCAGGCCGTGACCAAGCGGTTTCTTGGAACCAGCATCACTGTCAGCGCATGGCGGCACATGAGTGTGGCTTGGCTGCGTACACTGGTGTTGCATCATACGCCCGAGCCTTCATTGGGGGCGTTGAATGTGGCACACTCTCAAAGCCAGCATGCAGGTCGGACGGCACGCAACGTCTATGGCCGCACGCAGCTCGATCACAAGTTTGTGTCCAGTGAAGCACAGTACGGCCACCAGTTTGTGTCTGAGGAATGGCACAAGCTCATGAAGCTGGTAGACGTAGAGGATCAGATCCAAGCCGAGGCCGTGGATGGGCAGACCTGCGTGCAACAAGTGGTTCATAAACAGGTGGTTGTCCAGTCGTCTCGAGTCAGGAACGCCAGCACACAGGTGCAAGCGACCGTGGGCACGCAAACAGATCCCGAGGTTGAAGCCTGCCTTGATGCTGAGGACGACATTGACGATATCACTGCCGGGTTGGATCTAGACGAAGCCGAGGCAGCCGGATCGTCCATGCCAGTTGCCGTGCCGCGAGCCGTGGAAGAGGCTGCGTCGACGGCCTTGCAGCAAGAGCCAAGCCAGCACAATGACCAAACGCAGCAACAAGAGTATGAGGATCAGCTTTGGCTTGCTCAATGTGTGCGGCAAGCGTGGAAGACAACATTTCGCGACTGGGATCAGTATCGATTGGCACAGGCTGTGACTCGGCACGAAGCACAGGACGGCTGGCTGTTGGCCGTGGCCCCGACTGGCATGGGCAAGACGCTGTGTACACTCGCTCACCTCCAGCCACGCAGGGTCGTGGTGTGGGTAGTCCCGCTTCGTGAGCTTGCCAGAGACTTGTGCCGCCGCTTCGAGCAGGCTGACATTGTATCGCAGTGGGCTAAGAATGATGGCCGTGACATGCAAGTCAACGTTCAAGTGATTGTCATGACGGTTGACTTTTTGGTTGGCCATGGGATGAGGTGGGTGCAAACACTCGTGCAGCAGAAGCGTCTGGCCATGCTGGTGATGGACGAAGTTCACACAATGCTCGTGGACACCAGCTATCGAGACAGTCTTGTTCGCTGCCCAGGCCGGCTGGACCATCTTTGCCAAGACCCATCTGTCAAGTGTGTGGGCCTCACTGGCACGCTTTGCCCCAAAGATGAGCGGGCTCTGCTCCAACAGCTGGATTGCACGGAGGACGCTTCGTACCAGACCTTTCGTATGCCAACCATGCGAACCGATCTTCGGCTAGCGGTGCAACAAGGAACAACAAAGGCATTTGAGATGTTTGTGGAACGCCACTATGACCTGTTGGAGCAAGAGGGCCGCGTGGATCGCATGCTGATTTTTTGTGACACGAAGAAGCAGGTTGAGGCATTGTCGACTCAGTTGGCACGCACGTTGGGTCACGAGCAGTCGCTGGCCGTGGATGCTGACATGTCAGCCGAAGACACACGGGCGGCTCTTGAGCAGTGGAGGAGCGGCACGCAGAGTCTGGTCTTGGTGGCCACAAGCTGCTTGGGCGCGGGCTTGGACATGCCCAACGTTCGGAAGGTGATCTGGTTTGGCAGCGGCTACAACGGCTATACCTTGTCGCAGGCCTTTGGCCGGGCTGGCCGCGACCGACGGGGTGGCGAGGCCACGCTATGGATTCCACGAGGCACAGCGGTTTTGGAAGACCTGCAGCCATTTGCAAGCATGAAGCGCTGCCTGACCTTTGAGCTTGGTTGGCTGTTGGATGGTAAGGGCCACATTTGTGCGGCCGCAGGAGCGCCGGCGTGCACCGTCTGCTCCATGATGCAACCGACCTTCACAGCGCGCCATCCAAGCCGTGAAGCACATGGGGCGCCAGTATCACACGAGGGCCAGACCCGGGCCAAGCGAGCGCAGTTGATGGTACCATCGGCGCCCATTCAGTCAGACGACTTTAACACGGCTCTGCTATGGATGAGCACCTACTGCTGGGCCTGCAGCTGCAGCAGAGACCGCTTGGTTGCTCACCACCAGCCTTCTAGCTGCCCGGCCATGAAAGGGCGCTGTTTTCGATGCCACTGCCGCGGTCATGGTAGTAGCAATTGCCAAGTGACCTTGGGGGCGGGTGTTTGCTACCGGTGTTGGAGGCCGCAGAAGATTGGAGGTGAGCGAGTGGTGGAGTGCACGGGGCGGGCCTGTGCCCAGCGCAACCGCGAGGCCATCCGGGCACTGGTCGCGTCTGTGTCACGCAGTCAAACTTTGCGCGGCATCATGCAGCGCATGGAGTGCCCGGCCGAGCTGCTGGCAGTTGGAGGGCGGCACTTTGACCCGTCGGAGATGCAGGCGCTTGTGGGCTGGCTGTACGGAGCAGAGGGGCGCGTTGGCCATCCGCGCGTGTTGAAGTTTGTGATTGAGGCGAAACGGCAGTTTGCAATGTTGAAGTGAGTGTTTGTTTGTTTTTCAAGCGGGGGTATAATTGAGACGTTTGACAGCTTGTGGGCCGTTTGTGTTGGACGACATACGCTGATCAAGCATGGATGTGAAGAGATATTGAAAAAAGGAAATCAGTTGCGTTGGAGGGGAAAGGAATTTACGATGGCAGGGAAACATCGAAGGAAGAAATATGGATAAGTAATGATGAAAGAGCAGAAATGAGAAAAATTGGAAGGAGAAAAAGAATTGGTTGGTGGT